AGATGAGGTGCTCCCGAAAAAAGAAATATCGCAAAACGTACTCTACAGACCTGCCGCGACCGATCGAGCTTTTGAGACACTGTTGCTCCCCTACAAATGCCCCGGGCTTCCTTCGAAAGCTCACACGAAGCGAGAAGACGAGGGTTGAGATTATTGCAATTGCATTTTCTCCTCGCTTCGGAGATCACTCTTCCCTAAAATCTCCCTTCACGAACAAAAAAAAAAGATTAAAAAAAGGCAGCCGAGAGAATCCCTCCCCAAGAAACGACACTGCGCCTGCACAGATGATATGACAGCCCTCCAAGCATCTACTTCACACCTCTCTTTTGGCAAAATGCACTTTGACTAGAAGGGGCTCTATACATCACACCGTGGGGTTGTTCACCTTGTAAAGGCGGCGAACGCTAGTAAGATACATTACACCTTCGTCAGCGGCTAGAGGCTTGCTTTTCCCGAAGGTGGCTGCGAAGTCATGCTGCATTGGCTCGTGACTCTGGCTAGGACATGCTCCATCACCAGACAAGTTAAGACAAAAACGACATCGAAGGACCCTTCTTCTCGGAATCAACTCAAGCCTCATGGGAATGCCAGGCAGACAGTCTAACATCAGTATTTTTTTTACACATTAATCTGCTACATGGTTCTGAAGGTTCCTTCACATGAAGACAACACTGTAGCAGTGTTCTGCAAGATGACAAAGATGGGTTTGCATGTACAGCTGCACTAATTGTCAGTTCCACGACGCACTAATAAATCTTCAAAACCGTTCTGTGAAAAGTATAAGAAAGGCAGCCTGAATAAAAAGATGCGATTCTTACACTTTCAAAGTCCCGATCTTCAGAACTCCAAGTGACCAATAAGGCTGCTGTGACCTCTATGATTAGCTTGGAGTGTTATCATTCCAAACTAATAAGTACGACAAACTTGACAGTGTCTAGAAGAGCACCCCAGAACAACAAGAAGACGGGAAGAGGTGCTGAAGAAGCCTGCGCTGCTTCTCAAGAAAGTTTAAAAACAGCCCCCAAAAAAACACTTGAATATTGAAGCTTTAGTAGGAGGTATTTGAGCAGGCAATAGATAAAATTGAATAACAGACACTAAAAAAAAAAGAACTTGGAGCACATTATTGTGAGCAATCTTCCAATACAGTGCAACGTAGTTCATATTACTGCACACTAGCTTGAGGCGAGCTTTCTCTTATGCAGCTCAACAATGGGTGAAGACCCTTCATACCATGCTCTAAAGAAACATGTACCTGATCAAGCCTATTGTATAACACACCACCGAACCATCATGACACAATCAAAGGTGTGCTTCCCAAATGCCAAGGACAATCTTAGGAACATCCACCATGAGCACCCCACGCTGTAGTTCCTCGCAATGTTCTTTTGGGACAGCTAGCCCCCTCTCAGATGTTGTATTAGGGCTGCTGCACTGGCTTTTGGACAGGTTCGTACTTTTCGTTCGATAGCTCTGAATCAAGTCATGACCACTTATCAAGATACCTCATTAAAATATTTATCTCCCATAGGCGTGTTGTTGACAGGCACCTGTTTGCTGGAGCAGTACATTCCCTTCCTTCCCGTTTTGCGAGCACTTGTTATTGCATATATGTAGCGACAATTAATTCAACGCCACTTACTTCAGCACATCCCCCTGTCTACTTCTTGTATCATCAGTGCTCAAAAGATTGTTTTGTGTGTGGAATAATCCATGCATTTATCAGCCCCATTGAATGCATTCCTACAATCGTCATCCTAATTGAACTTTTATCGATGTTGTAATAGTCTTTGCAGAACACCACAGCCCTTTCAACATTTTTAGCACCAGTTTTCTACGATGACACTGCGATGAGCCAGTATCATTGTGAACAAAGTGCGCCCAATGCGTGCAACAGACTTCGTGGCCTGTTGTAAGCACAGTAGCGTAATTTCGTTTCGCATAAGTCTTTAACGAAATGTAGTTTAGCAATTTTTAGGGTCAAGTTTGTAGTTCTTTCCCATGAAGGCTTAAGTGGATTCTATCCAGCAAGCACACCGAGATCGGAGTAGTGACACGGAGCTAGCTTACTCCTTGCAAACAACCGAAAAACAAAGCACACACAGTTTCATTTCTTGAATAAAAAGCACACTGCTTGCCACATATCCCTGCACATCAAATGTCCCCTCCACAATTTCGGAAACTCCATTCTAACCAACAATTGAAATATGCACACTGTTGCACACAACGCACGTGAGTGTCCTGTTCTGGCTTATTTGGGGCGACGAACGAGGTTTGAAATACGGACAAAAGAGCAAGAGAGCAACATCATTTCGGCAACATGCAGCTACCAGTTTCGATTCCGCATGCAGACAGCACGTCCATAAAACCATTGCCAACAAGTCAGTGCCGAAATGCCCTCCTGTGCCTGGAGCTTGAAAGCGGCACGAAAACCGAAAACCCTTTGGTCCCATAACAGCTATCCTTGCGATAACATCACATGTGGTTTAGTTTTAACAAAGCAGCTTAAAAAGTGCAGCCATGAACCTAGCAAATAATACCATTATTATATCTGACTGCTACCATTAGTGCTGGATTAATGTTGCCACAACACTGCGAATGTTGCACATTGTGTGCTACTAAGAAATGTGTAATCAATGCTATCACACGAGTGTTCTTGTTAAACAAACGGACAGCAAACGCCTTGCTAATGAAAACATTCCTGCAGACACTTTACACAAATGGCCAGGTACAAAAAGATTTATTTTATTGGTAGTTAGTTCTACGTGTTGGCGTATTAGGTGGCACTGATGTTGGTGCCTGTTGAAACCTGTTCACAGTACATAGCTAACTTAGTAACTTTATCCAGCCAGTGTGTTCAAGTATTATTCCATAAGGACCAATGGGCACACAAGCCATCTGAGGTTCTCTAAAAAATACTTGCAGGTTCTTTCTACAGCTGACTTTTCCATACATGAAAAAAAAAAAATGTGTCCAAGTACCATTCCTATATTGTTCTCTTTAGCCTTTATTGTATCAAATCAATATCATGCCGTTCACGACGCTAAATCAAAATAATGAAAACAAAGAAGGCCTACAATGTCATAATTCTGGTTTTTGGGGTACCGGAAACTTGTATTCTATGTACATTTTGTAAGAAGTAGACATGCAGTATTTAATCAGCAACCAAACGAAACATCATACAGTAAAAACCAAATCCATGTGCTTGCTGCAAAACGTGTTTTGTTTTCATAAAAAAATTATTACTAATATCAATGAAAACAGTAATGTCACACTGCCATCATTCTGTACGCTCCACATTATGCTCAAACACAACAGGCATAATTGAAACGAAACTTGGAAAGGCTGCTCCCACAAACTGAGAATTGAGAATGTTCTGAATGCCTGTGCTTGTTAAATGATGGCATTAGTAAATTCTGATTGGCTTAAGATGCTGCCATTACAAAATTTGGTAAGACGGTAGAATTTCTGCACAGATTAGAACTCATGGACTATACAGTAGGAGCAGAGCAATATTCGACACAGGGACACAAATGAAGCAACACGGCCAAGCGGTGAGACATGAAAAAACTGCAATGTAGAAGAAGTCCTGCTCTTTGGTTTTGTGCTACTAGACATTGTGCGAAATTAAAAGATGCCTTGCATTCAAATGTTATCTTGTGATGGCGCCATAAAATTTATGGCCTTTGCTCACACTAGCACTTGTGCCATAGGGTTGCCGACTGTAGGGCAATTTCACTACCTGTATGTTACTTTCGGAATTTTTCGGCCAGCGTAGGGTAACAAGGCCGCCACTAGGATAATTTCAGAAGATTTCACTCGTCATTGATAAGTAAAAAATGTCAAATATCCACACGAAATATCAGAAGGTTACATTTCTGAAGAAATCCACACTAGAATTTTCTTAATTTCAATGTGACGAGCACGAGAGATGCAAAATAATATGTCAAAATTCCTTCTGCCAAGTTTGTAGCTTTCTTTTCTATTTTCTTTTTCTCGGGTGTCTTTTTTTCCCTCTCTGTCATCTCCCATTTGTTCGTAGCGTGGAGGGGCTTTTCAATTTTGCGACTGTGGTCAGCTTCAAATATTGAATGGTCAGCTTTAGATGCCTCATCATACATGAAAGTGATAGTCGGCTTCAACCACAAGTGTTACGAAAAAGCATCACAATGTAACGATGCCATATCATGATGTCACTGCGGCAGGACTTATTGCAAGAATCTTTGGTGCCATTATGAAGTCATTGTGACGCCATCAGATGTCATCATGGCATGGTAATAAATAGATCGCTCCCGGAGGCACATTTGAACATCGCAAAGTGTACGTTATCTGTACGTTATCAGTGTTACAAGGCGCTATTCATATGGGTAGGGTAACAAAAAAAAAAAGCTATGTAGGGTAAAGTAGGGTAATTTTGCCCTTGGCGTAGGGTATTTTCCAAAAACTGAATGGCAACACTCTTGTGCAACCACCCTACAGACGGCAATAAACTGAACAGTCCCCACCCAAACATGACCAAAGAGCACTGCGAACAAAAATCAAATAAAAAAACACATACATAAGTGCACGTGCGCAGTTCAACAAACTTATTCACAGATATCACCGAGACCGCACAAAGCAAGGTTCACATGTAGCTCAGTGCACTGGCAGATGGCGCGACTTCATGAAGCGCTTTGATACCTCACCGAGATGGCTGCCTGAACAACATCGGGAACACTAGCTGAACATCAAGCTCGGTTTTAAAAACAGTTGCCAACGATTCATGGGCAAGAACATAGCATTTGAACTCAACGAGCAGCAGCACAGATGCACAACCAATTATGTGCATAGATCTCTGTAGTGCTATGTGAAAAGTACTGCCCAGTAAGAAACTGCGCCCTTGGTGTCTTAGGTATTAGTGCAATTGCTGTAGTTAGCTGCAGTAAGCAATGTAGTATGCCTCACTTTACAAAAGAACAAAAATACGTCAAGGAACTGGCAGGAACATAAATCAGCTCTAACAATGCAGCAAACACTCTGGTGAGCAAGACAACAAAGAGAGAATACCACAAACACAGAGAGAATACGACAGTCGCAACACCATCATAAAACAAGCTGCAAACGCTTACAGCCAAACCTCAGTATAGCCAAATCTATCAGACGCTAAATCAACTTCTGTTACATCCAAGAATAAAAACACACATTTATAACACTGTATAAATTACACGACTGTTCTTGCCTCCTTTTGTAACAACCTACACTTCGTTATAACCGAAACCTCGTTATAATGAATAATTCATTAAAACCACAAATTTGTTATATGTAGGTTTATCCGCAACTGTTTTAAAGCAAGCTGCCACTGATAAGCTGCAACATGTGTGTCGAAATCTGTGCCCTCGCAAGAATCTGTCATCCTCAGACATGCGACAAGCAAGTGTGCATTCATACTTCTACTGGCAACAGGGAGCTCACACTCAATGCCTTACAACCAGACCGGAGACGAAAAGAATGCCTATGGAAGGGGCACTACCACAGTGACGCTAGGCTGAGGCTATTTAGCCTAGAAGAAAATGCCTTGGTCCTCCTCAAGCCGTTTCTGCGGGGATTGGGAAACTAAAGATACGGTGCACTGCTCGAAAGTTCAAACACGTGTCTTAAAGATACAAATGCGTCTTTTTTTTTTCTTCTCTCTCATCCTCCGAGGGGGCAGTCAAAACAACTAGCTCTACTTCAGTAGTGCAACTATGGTACAAGGGCTAAATATACAAAATTGTACAGCGTAATGCAAGCTTTGTATTAGCGTAGCACGTTTCAATGAAACTACTGCCTCCCCACCCCTCGCACCCTACCAGCCTCTCGGTGAAAGGGGGGGAAGCTGTTCCGCAAAGGGACCACTCGAGGTTTCGTCTCTTGCCCGAAGGTGACGCCGGCGATGCCTGGGTCACCTCCCACGCTACCACCACGCTGGAGGGAGCACGTTGGTGACGCTTAAGGCCAAAGTTGTCAAAAAGATCTGGTGCAGGAACGATGAGAAGGCTTTGGTGCGTCCACCCGCCACTGTTAACGGATTTCAACCCGAGGAGGCATTGGGAACAGCCTTGAAGCGAAAATTTGCTTTTCCAGACGGTGAACTGAGCGTCTTCATTTGTGTGGCGCCGGCCCGCTCAACAAAGTGTTAGCTAAATTGGAAACTTCAGGACTGGCATGGTGAAACTCGGAGAAGTTGAGAGAAACTTGAAAACCCTAAAGCGTAAGAGTCGTAAAATGGTACGATCGAGATGTTTTATCGAGACTTGCATAAAGAAGTAAAAAAAATTGGTGTGCAACCGTTAAAGAAGTGCGCAATACATGTTCAGAGACGTACAATTTAGTCTTTTCACGTGCTCATTGCGAGACCAAAACGCAGTGAAAAACACACAACCCTGTGTGAAAACGGGTGCCACGTTTTCGAAGCATGCAAACTCTAACAAGGATTTTCACACGTGTCTCGAGATAAAAGTGCCAAAGCTGTTGCCTAAATGTACCGGCTTGCGGGAAAAGTTGGATACAATGTATCCTGAATACTTAATGAACCGGGCTTCTCAGTGCCTATTGTGCTCAAGAGAGCTCAGTGTTTAAAAGCACCAAATATCTAAGCTCTTGGGTAGCTGCCAAAACAAGGAAGCCGTCATAGCAATGAGCTGCCAACCTAGCTGCTCAAGAACAAATAAGACAACCAGAAAACTGAGGCTCTCGCTTCATGTATAGGAGCTGAAATCAAACAAATGTGCCTTATGAACGCGAGCACAAGATATCGTCAGTGCTCCTGAATGTCGAGAAAGCTCACCGGGAAACAACGCATGCAACGACTGCGGTTCGAAAAAGGATCTCCAAGGTGTTATACAAAGTCGCCCCCCAATGAGGCTTAAAAACAATCTTGGATATTATTATTGAAGTGAGGAAAACTAGCGTGCAAACATACCGCAAGATCTGAAGTGCCTTCTTCTCACTGCCGCATCAATGGCAAGTAGACTGCACGGTCAGATTGAAATGCAAGCACTCCAGAGCGGCAAAACGCAAACACGCAACCATTGCTGGTGTCTGACGCTACAGAACGAATGAGATGGTCAATGTGGCTACACATTACGAATCACCACGCTACAGCCTGAACCCGACCCAGTTGTATGGGTGGAAGTTCCTGTATTGTGAAGAAGCGTGCGTACTGGCCAGAGCAAACTATTTTAAACGTTCCGTTTTGACATGTCGATACAACTGCTCCGCGACCCCAGCGTTCTCTGCTCCTCAGGCCTGTACCATCTTTCTCTAAGCTCCACATGTCATTGCACTAAGCGAAAAGATGGTCGCAACTTGGCTCGTACTGACAAGTGCGGCGACATCAGCCGAGCGAGAAAGGCTCGTATGGCCCCGCCTGTGTATCCTGCTCTATCTCACGTAAGAACGATGATGTGGATTGGCTGAAGCCTTCGCTTGGCTTGCTCAACGGAGTCTCATGGGGTTGTGGTTCCACAGGAACGGCCAAGGAAGGAAAAAGCTGAGGCCCTTGTCGCTTAGAGGGAGGGCGCCAGCGTTCAGCTGCTGTCAGACGGCCGTCTCCCGATCCTGCACGAGCCTCTCGAAGTGCTCCTGGCCTGAAAGAAAAAAAGCACAAGAAATTAAGAAGATGACACAGAGACACAAGGCACACACAAAAAAAAAGGCGCATATAGACAGCTTTAATTGAGCACAGAAATTATGCTTATCTATTTATTGAAAATACTTCAGGGAACCTGTACACTGGGTTTTACATGAGGCATTTCAGAATCTGAAGATGCTTGCATTCTGCCCTTATCAGAAATAAAGCCACTGTGAATGAAAACTAAATCGTGGCCTCATGCTCAGCATCAGCAGAATGACACAGCTAGTGAGCCATTCCGGCAAAACTCAGAAATTTCAAGACAGCCCTAAAGTGCTCTTAAAAAAATTGAAGCTTCCGTTGAAACCAACAAGGCATTGCAACTACTTACTTTCCAGGTATGCTGCCAAGTCCTCATCGCCGGCTCTGGCAGCTAGTTGCTTCGCTGTCTGTCCCTAAATGAAAAAATTTAAAAAAAGAGACAGAAATATGTTCACCTCCTCAGGGGCTAGAATGCAAGAAGAGCAGCAAGACCAACAGCAACAAGCCTGGGGAAATATGGCGGCATTGCACAGAAAAAAACCCAGGGGAGATGCAAAGCACATGGTGATGGACCAGTGTTTCTTAGTGGAACATACCAATCACTTCTAACGTCCAACAAGAGACGGACAACTCCAATTAGACAGAGACTCCTCAGTCCGCTTATAGTTAATGCATGCACTGCAAAAAATATTGCTCAACAACGCACAGGAGAACACTCCCACCGCCAATACTTTGGAGGTCAAGATCCAGTGCCTATATATACAGTGTGGCCACAGTGAATGGTTGTGCAGCGCGAGCGGTCGGTATTTTCCAATCCAGAAACTTGTTAGCAGACGCTGCCTGCGTCAGCATTGCGAGGAGAGAGAGGTTGTGAGTAAGGGGCAGAGAGAAGGGGGACCATACACACAAGCGCAGTAAGAATGGTCATGCCGCACACCTGATTGAGCTCGACCCTAAGCTGCTTTGCATCTAAAAACTGAGAAAGACCCTTGAAAGACCAAGATAAACTAAATTTCACTCTGGGCCATCATAGTTATTTACCTTATATATTTTGTATAACAGCCACTTATAACCAGTTGCCATGTTTGAAGTATATTCCATTTTCAAGACCACAGTCGTTTTTGGGATACTTGAACACAAAAAATTTTGTCTGTTTGTCTGTATGTTGTTGTCTGTCCAATGATTCAGTCGCCCAGCAAAAGTAACCCATTACTCAAAGCTCACAGATTTTGATCTGGCTGCTGCATTCATACTTGTGAACATTTTAAATCAAATTGCGATATTTGCTATTTATTTGAAAATATTTGCTATGTTTAGTTTGCCGCACAGACAACGCGACATTATGAACGGAGAAGCGGACGTTTCCTAAACTTAGCTATAAAGTTCATGGGCTTTAACTAAAAACGACCTGGTGCAGTTACCTACCAGTGACTGTGTGATGTGAAAGACTCATTTCTTCACATTACTGCCAGATGGCGCCGTATTTCACATTGCACTTCCAGACAAAAGACCATCGTCTTTTGATGTCCTTTGAAGCAAAGTATGGAGATACATGGCCAATTATTAAAATATACTTAGTATGCGTATAAAATAATAGACAATTTATAACAAAAAAAAGGTCCGTGTACACTATAAGGGGACCTTTATGTATTGTCATGAAAAAGAAAATCCAGTAGTATTTAACAGCAAAAAAAGCCGTGATAATACAAGTATAATAGAATACTAGGTATACAATACAAAAAAATAAACTCTCTAGCCACTTTTAGTCCAAAAATTTTAATGTGAAAATTGAAATTAAAAAAAGTCACAGCTTCACCACAAAGGTGGAGCAATGAATGCGATAGCAACAAATTGGAAGATCACGCGCGGAATGGCAAGCAGATCGAAACGTGCCCCGCGTTTCTCATGCACAAATAATGCACGAAACATATGCACAAGTACAGATGAACGTGAATAAACGTCTCGGTTGTTACTTCGCTGTGTCTCAAAAGCTCACTCTTTTCGCAAACAGAGACTGTGCAATGCTTGCAGTCACCTTTGTGCGCCTGGTAACTACAACAAAATTGTTGCGGTGAAAACTTAAGGACAGCCAAGTCATAAGATGCTCCAAACTGCGAGATAAAGGTGCGCGAATGTGCGTTCAGGGGCTTTACGACCACCCACTCCTCTCCGCGAGGCAAAGCAGGTGTGGGAGCTCAGGGCGCGCGCCCCGCTGTGCACTCATTGCGCCATCTTGCTGTTAATGCTGAAAACACGATAGTTACCGCCTCGGAGATGTCCATCACCAGCAGTGACAGACAAATAGCTTCACGTTTAAAATAGCTTACCGACATAAATAGCTTCATGCCATAAATAGCTTCCAGGATGTGCTCCTCGGTGGCTCATTGTTTAAAGTCTTGCACTCACAACGCAGAGGTTCAAAGTTCGATTTCGTGTGCCATAGTCTTTTTCTGGATTTTTTTTTTCTCTCTTGCATTTTCATAAATATATATACATATACATCATCACCATCATCAGCCTGACTACGTCCACTGCAGGACAAAGGCCTCTCCCATGTTCCGCCATACATATACATACACGTTCGTATATGTACACGGCTATATACACATATGCGTACACATATGCGGGCATCGACCTCGGCGGCAAAATTCAGCCGAGAGTGTCTATATAGATGCTATCGTAATAATACAAACCCACCGTTTCGAGACCAATTCGGTCCTTTCATTACCTACTCATTCAATTCAGATCTCTTGATGTCTGAAGCGATTCTACATTTCTGCCACCTAATACATGATGCATTAAGGAGACTGCTACCACTAGGCGACATTCATATTGTGATATCTTTTTCAAAGCAGTTTCAACAGATATTGTGGCTCTGTGGTAGAACACCTGTTTGCCACATAGACTGCCTCGGTTCAATCTTCACTCAGACCCGAAAACTTGTATAATTTATTTTATTTGCATTTCGCAATCTTTCTATTATGGTCACGATAAATTTTTGCTCATAACCAAAGGTGCCAACACCAATAGCGACACTGTCATTTCTGCATAATGAGCTGTATAACGCTATTGCATTAAAATGGCAGCTCAAGGTAGTTTATGAACCCAAACCGACTTGTTTGCACAGCGCAACAGTTGCCAGCTCCTGTGCTGCGTACTCTCTCCTCTGTTCTTGTTCAATTTGCACTGTTCGAACCTGTCATACTGAACTAGCAATACTATCGCGGTCATTGACGTACCTGTATGTTGCCCACAGTGTTTTCAAAAATTCATTTCACCGTGCAATGCTGACGTAGTTTCGCGGGATTCTACTTATTGCGCCATCTGTACATTCTTTCTAGGAGCACATATTTTCGCCCCTTCCTGCTTTGCTACATACACTGATGAGTACAGACTGGCCTCATCCACCTTTTCTGGGAGGGCATGGCACTCCTCGTGCTCAACTCTTTCAAGCTGAGTGACTATGGCGTGCATGCCATTAGAGGTGCAAGGGTTGTTCTGCGATCTGCTGCTGAACTGCAGGCATTTTTCTTGTATAGTGTTGGCCAGTCTGGTATGGCACATCAAGTTCAGAAGCACACACCAATGCCTGTTCAATAGATGAGCACGATTCAATTGCTGCCTTTTGTGCCCCTGCTGCAGCGTCACTGGCTGCTATCAGCAGCAAACAAGGGTTGTTGTAGGCCCTTTCTATCCCTATCTGTAACCTAGACTTCACGGTGTGTCGTTGATACTCCCCCAACCAAAACAACACTGGGAGTACATCATGACCAGAAACACCCAACAGTGAAAGGTTTGACCAACATTTGGTTTGGGCATTGCAGACACTGGGTTAGTTGGCAAGTTGGCAATGAAGGAAACATGATAATGAAGTACCTGGCAGTCCACCTTGGACAGCGATGCTCCGGCTGCTACGAGCATGCAACAGATAGTTCGCCGCTTGTACGCTGCAGCCTTGTGAAGAGCCGTCTGTCCCCTGAAAATTTATTTTACGTGTGAGAACCCACTGAAAAACGGTTACCAGTAGTCATCCACCATCCCAGTTGAAATACAATGCCAGCAACATAACTAACACGAACAAAAAAAAAGTCAAGCCGACTGAAGTGAAACATTGATAAAGTGGAATCTCATTGATAAGAATTCCACCTTTGGCTCTATACACTTTTTCCTTTATTCCCGGCCAATGTCTCTTACATTTTAAGAAATTGCATGCATTTATTATGATGAAATTCATGTGCATAAATGGAAAATGTGATTGCTAAAGTGGATCATTCCAAATATATTCAGAAATAACGAGTTTACTGTTCAGTATACTAGCTCAAACCACATTTCAACAAGCCACAATCTGTGCAGAGCAGGGCAGCTAAGGTCACAGCAGCATAGGTATTGCGTAGGCTTGTGCGAATATTTGAACGAATAGTAGTGTATTCAAATTCGCTTCGCTTCGATTCGAATTTAAATTATTGAAAATTTTGAAGTGTTCGCAGGGAACGAATAGATGCATATTATTACTAATGTACCACCTGTAAAGGTGGTTTCACTGCAGTTTAGAAATGCTGAAGCATAAAATAACCTATCCAGGAGAAATCCGCTCTGCCGCGAGGACCCCCTTCAAATTTAAAAGGGCCCTGCCACACTTTTTGACCATTGTCAAAAAACGCTGCCAGTCAGTGGTCGAGGGTACAGAGTACACCCAAGCCAAATATTATAGCGCAGCACGCGGCATGCAATTAATAATAAATTCTCAAAGTCAGCTGAAAATTGCTCTCTTCTCTCTCGGCAAATGACTCCAAGCACGTGTGACGTATTTTCTTTCCCCGGGCCATCCCTTCCTGCTTAGCTTCCAGTGCTTTCGTCAGGATGACAAGAGAGAATGCACTAGTAGCGTGTGAGAAATATTTGCAACTCCGCGCGTACTGGACGGATTCTAAAATTATCTCTGGCGGTGAATTCATGAGGCAAAACATAAGCTTCTTCAGTGAATCCATTCCATGGCTACTTGAAAACGTGTCGCACAGCACCTTTAAATGAAATAGTATTCTCAAATCAATTCATTTTATGAAGCTTAAAAGCCAGTTATTAGTTACGTTGGGTTTTATGGAGCAAAAGCAACAATGGCTATGATGCGCCAGACACCAGGTGATTTTGATAATAGGGTTAGAATGTGAGGTGAAAAACAGATTTCTGTTTACAGTTTGTTTAAAAGACCTGCGGCCTCTAGAAAATGAAATACATCCTGTATGGGGATGAGTGCATCTTCTTATAGTATTAACATTGGATGTAGAGGTGTTAGTGTTTTGTAAAATTGTTTAAAATAAGCGTGTCTTCTTTTTTCAAAGACTGGGGATGTTATTAAAGTATGATTGATAGTCAGAGGTGCCTTGCAATGTTTGCATTCTGGCTGATCTTCTCCGCGCAATAAGAAGTTGTGGGTGAGGTGAGTATGACCTATCCGTAGGCGGCATAGTGTTACTTCAATAAAGCGCTTTCGGTGATTGCACGACTTCCATTCTTGTAGAATAGGCTTGACAATTTGAAGCTTCTTATGCACTTGAGCCTGCTACTCTCCTTGCCATTTTGCCCTAAAGGCTGCCCGACAACTGTTGAAACAGTCTCTGTATGGTGCCCTTGTTTCTGCTATGCTTTGATGACCAGCCCTAGTTGCTACTCTGTCTGCCTTTTCGTTTCCTGAGATACGAACATGGCTCGGCACCCATACAAGTCGGATTGTCTTGCCATTTTTCTCAGCTCCTTCTAGCTTCTGTAAAATGTTCTCAAGAAACGGTTCGTTTTCCGACCTTAAATGTAGGGCGTTTAATGCGCTAAGTGAGTCAGTGTATATGACAGCTTTTTGTGATTTCTTGATAAAATTTCTTCAAGAGCAATCATAAGAGCATATACTTCTGCTGTGAAGATAGATACAAATGGCGACAGTCTTATACATGTTTCTGAGTGTTTTGATATGACAGCACTTCCTGTATATTCTTGTGTTTTTGATCCATCAGTGTAGTATTCAGTGTGCGTGTTATATTTTTCCTGTACGGCTAGGAAATCTTGCATAATTTGTTCCTGTGGAGTTTCCTTCTTTTTTAAATGAGTTAAAGCAAGGTCAGTGTAGTGCGAAAAGTCCAACCATGGAGCCAGTCTTTCCAGCCTTCGGACCACGCTTAGTGCCTGATTCGGTACTTTGTAGTCTAGACATATTTCTTCAAAGCGCAGGAGAAGTGGTCTTATCGTGCGCGGTCTGTTGTATTGTATTCTCGTACCGATGTGAGAGACAATAGTGTGACATATGTGGCTTGGTTTTGATCGGGTTCTTGATACATAGGATACAGCAAGTAGCGCTCTTCTCTGTTCCAGGCAAGGCTCATGGCTCTCAGCATATAAGCTCTGGACAGGTGAAGTTTTATACGCTCCAGTCGCCAAGTGTAATCCATGATTATGTATTGGGTCAAGACGTTTGAGGTAAGATTTTCTGGCTGAACCGTAAATAACGCTGCTGCAGTCAAGTATGCTGCGCACGATCGAGCGGTATATGCGTAAAAGGCAGACTCGATCGGCACCCCAGTGTTTCCACGATAGTATTTTCAAAATGTTGAGCGCCTTGTCTGCTTTCTTTTTTTGTGTAATTCATGTGGGAAATAAAGTTTAGTTTCCTGTCAATGACTAGGCCTAGAAACTGGTTCTGACTTGAGTGGCAATACACTGTTGATTTTAAGAACAGGGTCCGAATACAAGCCGCGCTTTTGTGAGAAAAGTAGGGTAACGGTTTTCTGGGTAGAAAAGCGAAACCGTTTTGATCTGCCCATTTGGTCAGTTTGTTGATGGTTAACTGCAGCTGCCTTTCACATGTGGACATGCTTGAGGCTCGGCATGCTATCTGAAGATCGTCAACATATAATGAGTGCATGATGAAGGGCGGGATTACTTCATTAACTGAATTCATTTTGACTACGAAGAGTGTAGTGCTTAACACGCAACCCTACGGCACACCATTCTCTTGGAAAAAAACACGCGATAGTGAGGAGCCCAACTGTACCTGAAAGTTTCGGTTTGATAGAAAGTCATAGAGGCAGTTAAGCATTCTTCCGCGTATTGCGAGATTTGCTAGGTCTCTCAGTATACCGTACCTCCACGTAGTGTCGTAGGCCTTCTCCAAGTCAAAAAACACTGCTAGGCAGTGTTGCCGATGTAAGAAGGCCTCACGTACTGTGTGTTCGAGACGGACAAGATGGTCTATTGTTGAATGGCCTTTCTTATACCCACACTGATGATCATCTAGTAGGTTGTCTATTTCAAGGGTGTATGTTAGTCTTATGTTTATCATGCTTTCGTATGATTTTGCCATACAGCTTGTAAGTGCTATGGGCCTATAGCTACCCGGTGAAGTGGGTGGTTTTCCAGTCTTTAGAAATGGCACTACGGTTGCCATTTTCCATTTTGCAGGCATTTTGCCAGTTTTCTGAATCACGTTAAAGAACTTTAATAATGCTTGCACGGCAGCTTGAGACAGGTGCGCGAGCATTGTGTAATGAATTCTGTCTGGCCCGACTGCTGTCTTTTTTTCCGCCGAAAGCACAGTGCTTAACTGTTGGAGTGTCAAGGGAGCATTGTACGGCTCATCTAGGCCACCGGTTGCTGGTACTTTAAAACATTATGTATTTTAAGGGTTATGGCTCCGATCCTGCTGAAAGTCAAATCCTGCTACTACTCAAAGTTCGTTCGACTTATTTTGAACAAAAAAAATGGCATTTGCATAGAGGCCCTGTTTTAATTTTTAAGAAATATTGCACAAGTTAGTTAGGTCATAATAAATGTGTGCATTTCACTTTGTATATAATAAATACTGTTCGAATTCGTTTCCAAATTATTTGGACAGAATCACTATTTTCTTCAAATCTAAAATTCACTATTTGCACGAGCCTAGTTTTGCGACAAAAAGGTCACAAGTCACGCGCAGCCACTGCATCTGATGATGACAGTGATGAACCAGGCAAAACACCATATCATCAGAAGGATTTACCATCAGACATTCAAAAGAAGAAGGAGCAGTGCAAATTTATCACCTATGTAAGTACTGCCCAACAAAAGTGAGCTTCTGTTGGCGTACATATATCTTCCTCCTTCTTGTTAAATCTATTTTGGTCAATTCAACTTGAACATAATAGGTTTTATTTTCTGGTTCGCGTGAGAAACATATTACAAGGCACATATTCAGACAGTTCAATATAATTCGAGTCTGGAAGGGGCTACGGGAGAAGTGTTCGCAAAAATCATGCGCAACCAAGCCGTGTTACCACTGGCCCCAGGAGAAGTTTTACCTCCTCAGTCTTTCTCTGGGGCCTCAGTGGCACTACTTTTATTGAAGTCATTAAGAAATACGCTTTGTTGAATAGAAGTTCAAAATACATGAAGTTCCATGGACACAAGGTTATCAAAAGTAAAATATTTTATTATAACAAGAAATTTGTCATATTTAAGTTAGTTTGTCATATCGAGGTTTAGCTACATCATCTAATAAAAGGAGAAAGACCAAAAATAAATTGTGCAGACTTGCCTGTCTTTGTCCGCAATGTCCAAAATCGTTGGCGGTGCTGCACAAGAAAGAGTGAAAGCATTGGTATAGCCTACATGATAGCTGGCATCAACAGTCACTGAATCGAAGCAACTCCGCACATACTGAAACCTCACTATAACGAAGTCGCATCTTGGACGAAAAAGCTTGTTATATCCATAAATACATTATAAAGGTATATTCCTGACACTGTATTGCAAGACTGTCTTTCATTTACTGCGTCACAAGAGATATTTCGTAGTACAGTCGATACTGGATATATCGAACCCTAAAAGCATCGTGAAATAGTTTCGATATATTGATAGGTTGGAATGCAAAATATGCGCATATAAGGCCTAAATAAAGCATTTCTGATCTCGAAAATCACTCCTAGCGCTAACATAATAATTCAATCACAGAATAATGAAGAACAAAGTGTGAACTGCAAGTTACTACACTTTTCATTAAAACAGTCTTCTAACTTACTTCTCGCACACTGTAAAGTTTAATATCGATGAAGCTTTTCGAATTAGCGAAATCGGCTCCTTCAGCCTCAACAGCGTTGATTGATGCAGAATTCCAATGCAAGCTTTGTAGTGCGGCAAAAGGTGCGGCAATACACTCATACCTCGTATAACAGAGTTGCATCTTACACAAAAATAACTTTATTATATCCAAAAATTTATAGGAAAGGTAAATTTTTAACACTAGTTATTGCAAGACTATCTTTCATTTACTTCATTATATCTAATAATTTGTTATATCCAGATTCATTATATCGAGATTTCAGCGTATCAGCAGAACTGGCCTTTCCCAGAGTGCTAAGCGAAATCGAAACGATCGTCACACAAGGAGGCGCACGCCCTCTTCGGCGGAGTTAGGATATTACGGACTTCGGATAGTATGGAACCACTTTACGGATTATGAGGATTTAATGTAATGACAGTAGACTTCGTGCATATATATAAATGGTGATTTGGGCATCATTAACGAAGGACCCAATGATATAGAAGCAAAGAAGAGTTGATGCGACTTTTCCGAAAGCACATTTACTACCAACATATTCAGCTCTCGTGGACCATCCATCATCATTCACACAGACAAACATGCATGCATCCACAAATGCTAGCCTCAAATGAAACCCACTTACCGCTGGCGACAATGTACCTGACGACGTCCTTCTGTCCATAGCGAGCGGCGTGGTGCAGCGCCGTCATCCCGCTGTCGTCCGTTGACAGCAGGCTGTGACCACTGTCACAAAGCTGCCTTAGCTGCAAACCCATGACGAAAATTTGAGAGGAAAGAAGAAAAAAAAAAAGGAATGCGAGTCTCTAACAGCCTCATGGGCAATCATGAACAGCATCAATTCAAGAGGCGTCACTAAAATACTGGCTACAGAGGGGCAAAAAGGAAAGAAAAAATGTTTGCAAAACCTTATACATATCTGCAAGAGCAATTACAATACAAAGCAGGCAGACAGGAAGCTCCAAGAATCACACAGGTTTATTTGTAAGCAACGTTCAGATTTGCGAGAAAGAGGAGCCAAAATACGAGCTCAATAAAGCTAAGCGCACAAAATTTTAGCCACGAGATGGCGACAATCACAGACTTCTACTCGTGCTTAAAACTTATCACACGTTGATTCTGAATAAGCAATTTTTTTTAATAAAAAGTATCTGTGAGTTTGCGCCGGTCTATCGTTTTTACAAACTAGCTGACATTTGCGTAACATTCGACTTTGTTACAATAAGGTTTGAGAGTACTTTGCGCTCGCCTTGTGTATATGTGTGCACTCGCTTTCTGCATCCTTTCTGTTTGAGCAGCACTCTTTAGGTTTGGAAGTGTGGCAGTTGTTGGTAACTGCTCGTCCTTGAGCATCCTTTCTTCTTGAGGAGTTCACTGCAAGTTCTTATCTGCTTGCTGCTCTTTGCGTGACATTACATTTTATTACTATAGCAATCATTCGTTCACTCTTGTGGTGAAACAATATGTAATAAACGCTCAACTACGTCTGTAAACATATGTTTCACTCATGTTATACCAGTTCCCATGGCATGGAGATCAGTTCATGTTTTTTCAAATTTTTTGAGACAAAAACATGACAGGGCGAGCTAGACAAGTGGATGTCCTGTGACAAGTACATGTGGTACAACACATCGCACTATTTTGTGACACCTTCAAGATTTCGTGTACCAAAGTTCGAGCGTGAAATTTGAACATGAGCACAGAGCGCTATCGCTTTCAGCTTCTAGCATGAGGCACTGAGTGAACGTACCCTTAAGAGATCTCCTGTTTTGGCAGCCGCAATTAATTCTGTAAGCAGACACAGGGTTAATGTGTTATTCAGACACAACTGAGAGTGGTTAGCCACAAAGGCACAAGGCAGAAAAGCACAGCAAAGCACAACGGCAAGCCAAACACACAAGAAGCCTTTGTTATCAATGTTTGATGCAGTTAAAAAGCTCATCTAACTGAGGTATTCGTGAAAGGTAACTTAGCAATCATAACACAGCATTAACCGAACCTCAGGCCATTGAGCTCTTACAATCATGACTATTGAATATAAATCTATACTTGTTTTCTTTTTTCAATGTAATTTTCTACATTGTTTTTCTCTACCAATATGAATAACAATACAAGCATGCCACCACACTCCAAGCATTTATTAGGGCAACCACGTTAACATGCAGATCATTAAGCACATTTATTTTATACGTAATAAAATGCACTAGATTTTTAATAATTCATCCTGATTAAAGCCTTTTGACTAGCAGTGGGTACGAAACAAGCATTGTAAAAAAATGAAGAAAGTCAAAGCAAAGCAAATGCTTCTTTTAAAGCATGAGTAACTTCGAATGGCATATCTGTACATGAAACATACCTAGGGATGAAGTTGGCTGTGACTGTTCTCCAGCCTCAACTCTGAAAACAAAATGCCCACTGATGTTCACACTGATAGCCCAACAAGCAAAATCCAACAATTATTCATTAAATGTGTGCACTCACATGTAAGCAAACTCTCAAATTACAGCAATACAAAAATGAGACATTAAATAATATGTACAAAATAAAAATCTTCAGAGCTGAGCATCTGATTGATATTTATGAAGGAGCCTTCTCATAGTATACAAGCAGACCTAGGAGACATCAACTCAAAAAGTAGATGTGGAAATAAGAAAAATTTTCTTACTGGGCCTAGCTTACTCTCATTAGGCCTAACTAAGGTAATGGCTCAAGTGTACAAATACTGGTGCGACAAAGTCTAAAGCAAGCATCCCTGCTGTCTATTTTATTAAAGATCATGGAGCAGCCTCTTTATGCGATCTAATGTAATCGAGAGAGCAACACAAGAGGAAGAACCATAAATGACAAGCACAGTCTTGTAAGGCCTGACTTGCTCCCACTAAGCCTAATGATGTAAATGGCCCCTAAGTGTACAAGCAGCAGTAGCGCAGACACTAAACCACGTGCTTTTTTTTAAAGTACATATGAAAAACATGTTATTGATAGATATAGATTGATGCCTTCCTTGAGATCGGCACCCTTACGCCTAAAGAGCATACAGAAATGTGGATATTCTACTCAACCCACACTCACAAAATTTAGCATGTACTGCTGCCCTCATCTTGTCCAAACTTCGCAGAAAAATAGCTTATTAAAGCCATATTGCCAATCTGTTAAGATGCGCTTAAAATACATGCGAGAACAACCATGCAGTGTTGCCTTTACTTACATAATAGCTAGAAGCTAGCAGAAGCTAGCACAAACTTTCATCCTCTCTTGCTGACAGTTGCTGAAAGCAGCCATTTCAGGATTGTAGCAATGGTTTCCGAACGAGTATACAGCTTTCAACCCAATATTCGCAAATGTTCTGGCTTTAATACATAACAGGAAGACTTCAACTATTCGTAATACTAAACTAGTGAGTTTGATTGATATGTAGGGTGCAATGTCCCAAAACCACCTTATGATTATGAGAGACGCCGTAGTGGACGGCTCTGGAAATTTTGACCACATGTGGTTTTTTAACGTGTGCCCAAATATGAGCACACGGGCCTACAACATTGCCGCCTCCATCGGAAATGCAGCCGCCGCAGCCAGGATTTGATCCTGCGACCTGCGGGTCAGTAGCCGAGTGCCTTAGCCACTAGACCACCGCGGCGGGGCCCAGTGAGCTCATAAAGAGGACACAACACTACACAAAAAGAACACAAAACGCATCATATAGCACTTTATAAGCTAAAATGCCTAATAAAGCAGATGGCAACCAATCATAAAAGTGCTCAATTTAACTCCAGCCATTTCTGAAGCCAACAGATCTTCATAAAATTTGTTGGGTACATTCTTTTGCAGGTTTCCGTAACTTGTGTGATTTTGAAGAATGAAGAGATACGCAGATTCTTTACAAATTTATTTTCTGAAATTCCCCAGCTCTCCCAACTGGCTTCCGACAATTATTAGCAACATTAGGCGTATGGCATAATTTACGTCAGAGTATCGGAAGTGACCGAAGTGAGGTGCCACAACATTGTGTACTGTCAACAAGGCAACAATCACGTGTGTTGCTTGGCTAATGCTTCGTTGTTTCAGTTCTTTGTTCATGCAGAGGCTCCAAGAAACTCATGCACAATCTTCAAGGAGCTCGCACACAGTCACAAACTCCAAGAGGCTTGGGACCGTGCTATGTGTACAAGCTCCGAGGACCGTGCTAGGTGCACAAGGTTCAAGAAACTTGTGCAGTCAGAAACATGGTCAGTCAGAAGACATGGTACAGCTGTTGGTACAGCTGTTGCGACAGGGTCACCTTTTCCTTGACCATCTGCTCGTCCCTGCTTTTGCAGTTTGCACTGGTGGGACCAGCATCCCCTGCACGGTATTCGGTTTTCGCAAACTGCTACGCAACGCGAAGATAGTACTGCTTGGTCGTGCTTCGGTGTTGCACTTTTTTTGCTTATTCGAAATTGTTCATCAATTTGACGAGTATTTCTACTATCAGGGCCATGACAGGAGCGCCTTACCCAAATTAAAGCAGCATTACTTTGGCATGGTAGAAAATAGCCAAAAGTTTGCCTTTAAAACGTCAGTACACAACCCGAAGGTCAAAAAGTTATTATGAAAAGAAAAATGTGCACTTTTACTTCGAAAACATGCTGCCACAAAATTTTAGGAATACGTGCTATATTAAGGAAGTTACAGGGTTTATAGCATCGGTACCAGCTGGTTTCAAATTCCCGCGTGGCATCTCTCCCTTCCCCTCTCACATGAGGGGGAGGGTGTAGGCTGTCATTGTGACTCCGCCCACGGGGCAATGCTTTTTCGGCCTGTTGCTTATGTGAAGGGTGAAGCACGTGAGCGCAGGCGCTATGCTGAGCTGCAATTGAGCGAGGAATGTATGCGAGACGACTGCGTGGCGAAAACTGTATCACCGCGGTGCCAAGGAAAAAGAGCCACTTCTGTAGCTGTGGGCCGAAACAGGAACTGACATTCACTACACTACTTTTTGTTGAAACCAGGTTTCGACCTATCGACAAGCTATGTGCTGCGTCAAGTCGCCGATTGCCAACTTTGCATCACTGCGCATGGAATGAGGATTGGTAAGGCATAGGAAAGGAGCGCGGGAAATGTTTTTTAAAGTGAAGACGCTGCCCGGCGCACAGCGCTGTAATATTCACAAAGGGCAATTGCTGCGGTCTACTCTACGAATTGCAGAGCTTGTTTGGGGGGGTGCAAAAAAATGTCCGAGCCTGTTGACTGGCCCTTTAGGACATCTGCGAATGCAGCAGGACAACAAGACTGTCTGCGAGCGAAAACTATTATTAAGCAGTATTTGATTCTTACTCTTTCAGATGTATACATCGATTGGCAAATCTCTCTAAAGGGTTTCATGCAACTGTAAACAGTACTCACTTTTGCATCTTGTTGTCCTCGATGTTAGGAGAAGGAGCACTGAAATTAGAAAACAAAAAAATTTGTAAGACAACCCGCTTACATGACTTTCTTTATGAGCCAAGTATGACATGGCCAAATGAAAGCATGCATGAACACAGAAAAAAAATACTAAATACAACAGTGGCTTGCAAGTCCAGGTTGACTTGCTGTACCTCGCTGCGAACTTTTGCTATGCAACTGAATGAAGTTGCAAGATTGGCCTTGGAAACAATTTTTGCCAGCAATAAAAAGCATAATCTGCATCACTGTATGTTGATTTAACAAACAATAGTCTAGGGCAAAATGGCAGCTAGAAGCGATGTGAAGGTGTTCTACAAGGAATGTCAACAAAGGTAACTTTTAACAAGAGGATTTTCTGTATAGACCTCCCATAACACAAGTCTTCGGAGTCTTGAGTATCTGCACTGTAAGTAGTACGACAACTGAACCAAAACAGCATCTCTCACGAGCCGCACGCATATAAAACATCACGAACAGGTAGCCGTACATACCGACAATGAAGGCACGTGCCTCAAATGTATATTTCCATGCACTTGAATTTGCAAATATTGGGAAGCGATGTCCACAGACCAGCAGCATCGGTATGAATATAATGAACGCAAGAAAAAAATGGCGTTGTCAAAAAATGGCAAGAAAAAAATTGGCGTCGAAAGCTGCCAACTAACTTATCGGACCCCTTCATTTATGCGAACTTCGCTGCAGTACTGCACTGCGCTACAACTATACATTGAAGGACAACTGAAATCCTGCATGCTTTCGATTCCTCGGGCGCATGCGGATTGTCGAAAACAATGACAACCATGAACCACCACTTGATTGTTGCATATTCATGTCCGCGTTTTCTCTGAAGATTTAAGTTACCCATTTAAAATGCAAGCGCAAAACCTCTTGCTGACTCTGCATCAAACGGGAGTTTTGATTGTCCATCATCACTACCAACCAACTAGTGCATGTTAGTCTTACCATGCGGGTTGCAACTTGGTATCTCGTGAAGAGCTTTCCTAACAAAACATGGACATCAGGTGCAGGAGACATTGCGATCATAAGCTAAACAAAGAACAGCTCACGCGATGTGAAACCTCTGTTTGCGGTTGGAAAGAAAACAAACTACATTTTTGTTGTCCCGACTTCTCTTTTCTGACCGCATTTGAATGCCCCATCTTATAGCATGAATTGCTTTCTCTGCCAAGCTCACCTCCACGTAGGAGCCGGCTCTTTCGTTATGGCTTCGGCTGCGGCTGCGGCTGCAACCGTGGCAGCAGCTACAGCTGCTAAGCTCTCTGCGCTCTCCTTCAATGCGGACGAACTTTCCAGGCCACCAATATCCTCCGTCGTGGGTGACGACAGTGGCGGTGGCGGGGGCTCCGGTACGATTGGCGACTGCTCCGGGTCGAGGATGTACACGCCGTCCTGACTTATGTCGACGACGTAGTGTAGCTGCTCCTGAGCTCGGTCAATTCGAAAGAACCTCTCTGCTGTACAGGCTGCGTGGCGAGCAACATAAATGAAGACACACGCTTAGCGATGTGTTTAGATCTTTCTTTCGATATTTAAATCATGTCAAATCATGTCATAAAAAGCTACAACTAGCATGAATTGACTAGATTTTACTTGATACTAATTAGAGATATACACCAGATTCTCCTAATACTGAAGCTCAAAAGACAAAAAAAAGATGCCCATTTAGCAGGAGTTCTATTAGCACGTTCCATGGGTCGTGTGTTGCCGGTAGATCATGGCATGTGCACGCCAAATAAACATCCTCCCAAGGCTTTTTTCAAAAAATTTCGAAATAAATGTTTTGACATCTCGTGTTCTGTTTTGTGAACCCACTTAAAGGGGATCTCCTGTGCATTTTCGATGATATTGAGATAAATGCTTTTCAAATAGTATTGACAGTCCTGTAAAAGCTAGGGTGGATCATTTTGCCTAGACATTAGTCAAAAATTTTAAATAGGCAATGAACGACGAGTCACAACGAAAACCGAAACCGGGAGCTGCTCCATCGTCCATGGTGGGTATCAGATGACATCACGAGATCCGCTGCACTCTTCCACAGCTGGCCAGAGTGTAAACATAGCACAAAAAGCAAGTTGGCGATGTCAAAAAGCAAGTTGGCAAGCTGTGATAGCTCGTCTGAACTTAATAGTGACAAGTTCAATGATGATTGCAGCTGCTATCCGAGAGCGGAAGCATCGCTTTTTGCTTGCAACCCACCGGCGTGTGAAGCATCTGACATGCCTCGAATTGATTTCCTCGTGGCTCAATATTGTAACACCCAATGGCAGCGATGACTAACACGCAGTATGCAGCTGACAAAACTGAGCTGTGCTCGTGTTGTCATCGCCTCGTAGAAGAAAGCACGCGCTGCATCCGTCAGCTGGGAAAGGCGACGTTTTTGAAAAAGAGTAGGCCCTGACGTCACATACACAAGGTGGCCCGGGTTTGCAAGTGTGGTTCCAAAATCAGCTGCAAACTTTAAAACTAGTTTTCTAAAAAACTAATTGACTTACCGTTGTACAATATGACACATATCTCCATGGCACTGACAAAACCACATGTTCAAAGTTTTATTTAAATCAGCGAACATCGAAAAAGTGCCGGAGTTCTCCTTTAAAAGAAATATCGGTTATAACAATGGTATTTTTTTCTGAACTTAAATATTCTTATAAGTAAACTGTACTGTATAGTTTTCATTCAATGTGGCAAACACGGTGTGTCTGGTACGATTATCACGTGCATACTAAATTGATATGTGGGGTTTAACTTCAAAAAACCACCATATGATTATGAGAGACGCCGTAGAGGAGGGCTCCGGAAATTTCGACCACATGGGGTTCTTTAAGGGGCACCCAAATCTGAGAACACGGGCCTACAACATTTCCCCCTCCATCGGAAATGCAGCCGGGATTTAATACCGCGACCTGTGGGTCAGCAGCCGAGTACCTTACCCACTAGACTACCGCGGTGGGGCCTGCATAGTAAATTAAACATCCTCCTAAGGTGGTGCCTGTGATGGTAGGTCAAGATCTATACTCATTCTTTCGCTACTTCTATAGCAATCGTGAAACAAAGAGGTACTCACAGTCCAGAAAGCACCAGTCAGGTGAGAACCTCTTGGAAGGTGACAGATTCTGCGCATCTGGACCTTCCATCTGAAAATAAATGTTTGAAGCAGACATGCACCGCACTCGGAACACTGCCAAAGGTGTACCATGAGTACTTGGTGAAGTGCGTGATCAATGTAGTGCTTTGAAAGCTACAAGCCATGCAAATAAACCAGAAAGAAGAACCAGGGGAGGCACGCCAAAAGCGCACAGTTCTGAACAGTCTTTGCACCAAGATACAAAATCACAAAACGTATTAGTAGTGTGCAATGCATGAGACCATCTGTTTCATCCTCTGCAACAGGTAGCCAGCAGATCTTACAGCAGGTTGGATGACATGGTCCCTAGCCTTCGCTGTAGTGCGTGGAACTTGGCAAGGTGGTGTGCAGTTAACGTAGATTATATTGCTCGACACACACAAGAAGAGCAACATTGTACATTTTGGTGCAGTTATTAAACTTTAATGATTGGGTAGAGGTCGTGAATTTATCATGAACTATTTTTTTTTAGAGTTGTGAAAGTTCCACTGCAATATCTGGGGTTTCACATGCAAAAACGACAATTTCATTATGAGGCGTGCTGTAGTGGAGGGCTTCATACATTTTTTCCAACAGATGTTCTTTAATGTGCACCAACACTGAAAAGTACACGGGCCTGTAGCATTTTGCCGCCATCAACATGCAATCGCCATGGCCGTGATTAAACCCACAACCTTCTGGTCAGCAGCCAAGCACTGTAACCCGTACAACACCACGGCGAACTAAAGTTAGGAATTGTGCGAAAAGGTATAGCAAGTTTTGGAATGAAAAATGTGCCTAATTCTGCCAACGGGCCTCTCCAAACATCACTCCTGTCTCAACCAATATAGCCATGTCCCCACTATTGCTGCTGCTAATGTTGGGCAACGAGCTTTTTAAGAGTGGAAGGAGTTTGGAAAACCACGTCTACATCCGCGTGTTTACACCTTTGCAAATCAAGCCCATAGTTTGCAAATCAAGCCTATCTCAGTGTGCACAGGTCAGGCACACGAAAAAGCGCTGTTTCAGGTTCTGCATGTCAATTTTTTTTTTTGTTAGAGCATTTGCTCAACATCCAGCCTCAACGAGCATAACTTGGAAAAAAAAAACACTCACCGAACACAGCTGGTTGATCATCAACCTGACGTTCTCGAGATCAGTGTCAGGGTTCACAGTCAACGTTCCAATCGGTATGGCTGTCACCACACACCAAGAAAGCAAGAGTTAAATTATGTCATCAATGCGGTACGTGCAAAGAAAAAGCACAATTCCTCAGATACTTCCATACAATCTTCATTGTATAGAATTATGACAGTTGTGTTGATTAACGTCCAAACTTAAATTGTATACAATCCCTGAAAGCTTGCAATTCATAATGGCGCTTTCTTTACTGTCACAGTTATGTACCTCATATTCATGCCTTTATCCCCTCCATGAACAAAAACCACTCGGAGTGGGTACAAGCATAACACTTTGCTACACATGGATATTAAGATCCATACCAGCACAGTATAGATCCATATGCATAGTATGGATCCACACTATGCTAGCATGGATCCATACTAGAATACTGGTAAAGACAGATTGTATGAGCAGCTTATTCGGCAAAACGTACAGATAGCGCAATAGCTCTGCAGTGAAATTGGGAGCGCCAAGGGTTACATACATACACTAGACTCTCAATAAACGGAATCTCCGGGGACCTGGAAAATATGTTCCATTTAGCAGGAGTTCAAAATTTTGAAAGGAAAACAGGGGTGCCGAATACAACCATGAAACCAATCATATCAGAGACAGTTGTTCCGTTTCAGCAGAAATGCCATTCAACGGATTTCCGTTTAAGTCTACTGTATACAGAATGGCAGCTTGTGACGAAACTCACATAGGCTTCGTAGCTTCTCCTTGTCATAGTGATAATTCTCGTAATCAGCCATGTTCAACTTTCGGATGGCGATGGTAAGCTTTTCCAGTGGTAACCTGGCGAAGAGATCGCAGGCAGGATCATGAAACACATTTTAGTGATTGAATGATTCACTGTTTTGCAAGGTTTCTATAATACAAGAGGAAATGTTTTATAAACCCCAGTGACTTCGATTTGGTCAGTAACCACTAAAAAGTATTTCTGAAAGGCTGTGTCTCGTTCTCAAAGTCAATAGTTGAGGAATATGATCTTCTGGTGCAGCCCAGTGTGCACTACTTTCCACAAACTTAATCAAAAGCACGAACATTCTTAAGCTTAGACAAGCAGGCCAATGTTACTGAACACTGGCTGTCAATAACAGCTGCTACTGTTACTGTTCTTCGCAACATAGGCACGTGCACGAAAATGCACCCCCACCCGCCTAGTCAAATGGGGGGTTGGGAGTGGTGCACAAAGCCTGTCCCATACATTGACGGGGGGGGGGGGGGGATCTGCGAAGAACCTTCGCCCTCCCACCTCCCTGAAGGTGAATCCTGCACACACCTATGGTTTTCAATACATTGCAAGGAAAAACAGACTTACTGGCTTGGCACTTGGTTGTGAATCTGTAAGGTGACAAAAAAAAAAGACAAAAAAGACAATCAAGAGCTGGCTCAAAGAGGCACTTATCTTACAAGTCAAAGCAACTGGCCATTCAACATGATGAGACTAGTAGATTGGCCAAGAATGGCATAAGAAAATTTCCTGATCGCCAAATACAATGTACATTTGCGACCATATTCCACTTCTCTGCCGACCTCACAACTACATGTAATACAGGTATGCCGTTATTAACAGTGCTGTCAGTGTCTCTTCCCTCGATTCCAGGGTAACTGATGGCACTGACTGATTTCCTAATGAGAAAAGAGCAACTGGGATGTTCTCAAGAAGGGAAATTGTCAGAGTGTCATGTGATGAAGGCATCTCGAACGGTACAATCGTTCTCCAAGAAGAAAGTCATCGAGATGAGTGCAGATAACTTTGCACTCTAAACAAAGCTGCACTCCTTGAGGCATATTTCCATTGCACGTCAGCTGGCACTGTGCTTTCTTGAAAGCCTGGTGGTCACTTCTTTCCCATTAAGAATGCCATGTCACAATGATAGAGCATACATTATTCATGACTCGGAAGTACCAGTTGGGCAGTGATAATGTAAGCGAAGCCATGCACGATAGATGACGATTATTGTTGCACAGTGTTAAAACCCTCCAATATGTGCAAATGCTGCCAGGGAGAAATTTCACACCTTTTCAGCATGTTCTGTTAAACACTGCCCTGCGTTCTTCGTAATCTATCCTTGGCAGCATCTCCCTATCCTACGCATATTTCCAAGCCAACACCCCTACAAGCTCAAGCCAAAGCCAAGACCAAGGTGAGGGTTATGATGTGAAAAAGTGCAAAAATGGGGAAACAAAATAGAAAACACCGCACATCCCTGTCATCACCGTAGTGTTGTCTTTTTTATGCTTTACTTTTAAACTGCTAATAAAAACCACAATTCCAGCTTCCCACAGTGCCAAAGTGTGAGCCAAATGTACAGGGCCATAAAGCCGAGGTCTAAATCCAAGCCAACGTCAAAGCCACAGCACCCACCTTGGCCTTGGCCACCATGCAGGCCTTGTTGCGCATGTGCAGCTCGATGAGCGAAGGCAGTAGGCGGCAGGGCTCCCCGTCCACCTGCACCGGGATGGTCTTGCTCGTCACGACGCGAGCGCTTCGACACTGGCAAAGGCAAGTGCCGTGGCCACCCGCCTGGAGGAAAGGCTGCGAAGCGAAAAAAGAACAAATCTGTCAGTTCCGTAAAGGCTGTGAGCTTACCACTTCACTGATTGGATAGCAAGATCACATAGTGCGGTGAATCTGCAGCTAAGACTTGAAGTACGCTTGAACAGGCAAAGTGAGATCCTGTGACCTGCACGTTCAGGCAATGGTGCTTTAGGAAACTCCTCAAAAACGAACTCCATTCAACTTTCCCGAAATGAAAATTTGACTGGACGAATTTGTCCACTAAATGCAACGTTGGCTCTGATTCAAGCGCTTGGGTAAAAATTACCCTGATACGAGATGAGCGGAAGATGACTGAAAGAAAGGCAATACTTAGCCTTAAATTGTCGCTTTTCACTACGTGTGCACTGTACAATGTCGTCCTTGCACATGATGGGCATTGTTATAAACTCTCACATATGAAAAAGAAACGGCAAATCAGTTCTGTGCGAGTGCATAAGACGACAGACAGTTTACTTAGAGGGAGCGAATTCTGGTATGTCGCATGAAGCTGAAAAAAAAAATGAAAGCTTGAAGAGGCCATACGACTAAACATGAGATTGTCACAGATAAAACTCACCATTTGGTATATCGTGAGGCCTATCACTTCAATGAGGCCGTCATCAGTCTGTGGCATTTCGAATGCTGTCCCCGGGTTACCCCAGGGTCTTGTGCCACCGCCGTAACTGCAGTTAATGTAAAAAAGAAACAGCCGGAACGGCCATGTGATAAGGTTGCGTGGCAATACTGATCTGCAGACAGCAAGTTTAATCTGAGATTTTACGTGCAACAAGCAAGATATGATTTTATAAAGCACGTTGTGGTGGAGTGTAACAGGAAAATCAACCATAGTGTACATTTGGACCTGCTCTGACATCACAACATACACAGGCATTTAGCATTTTGCCACCATTGAAATGTTACTGTCGTTCCAACTATGGCCCCACTGAGCTTTGGCTCGGTAGCCAAACACCGTAACCACTGTACCACTGCGGCGGACTACAGCAAACTTTGACATTGAATCAGTTTGACATTGAATCATTACCGTGAAATCCTATGATCCGACATCAAAAATATTTTCATAATTCCTTACTCCCTATAACTAAAACATTTCCTGCACTGTACCAAAAGTGAGGCAGTTTTCAGGTGCTTTGTTAAAGTAGATGGTTTGTTACTTCGGATTGCGTTATGTCAGAGAATATTGTAACATAGAATGATTTCATCTTAATATATTCACAAGGAAAGCGAAATTTCGTGACTAAACTTCCCATTGTAAAGAAAGCTTACGAACATAAACTTGGCTCGGAGCAGCGGAACAATTTACACGTGTCTGCCATCCTAAATTATAGAAGCAGAGCATTCGCATGCTGCCATGAAAGGAAGTCATTTGGACATTTCACCTGGGAATGTTCAAGAAGAGAATGGAGTGTACTTTGTGCTCTCGTAACTTCCCCGTGTAATCTTGGCCATCGCACTGTGGAGGAAAGGAGAGAAGCGTTTAAAGGGGGCCCTGCAATACTTTATCAAGTAGCCATAAAATGGATTCCCTAATGAAGCTTATTGCCTAACACGAAATATTGTCTGACCTCCAGTGTGACGTAGCTGCAAAGGTCCTTCCACTTTCGCTGGAGGAGATCCTTGCCTCCTGCTTGGCCGTAAAACATTTTGTTCTTTAGCCTGCTGTTGAACCGCTCCGGGTGAGCTTCTGCATGGAGGCAACCCAGGGCAGCAAAGAGAAAACAAGAAAAGAAAAAAAGTGACTTCTGCGTCAGATAACTGCAAATACAGTTGAAAGCAATGTTTTCTTGGCAAGCAAGCCAAGTTTACAGAACCAAGCTGCATGCAAGCTACCACTATTAAATGGAATTCCCATTTGTGACCATGTTTTCTATGCGAAAATTACAAAAGACGACATCTTTCCCGGGAATTTTTTTGAGGTGGGATGCAGTGCACGGCGGTGAGATATTTATATTTGTTTTTTGCATTTTTGCATGCGTGAAAAAATTCGCGTCACTTAGGTCGTGCTCAAACAATGGACGCGATCACGAACGAATCAGTCATGTGACGTGTGACGCAGTTCGAATCGCTCCGCCAGCTTGAATTCACACGAGAGAGGAGAATTTACGCTAAACAGGAGAATTTTCTCATTTTTTCCGGAGGATCCAAAGCGTGATTTGAGCCTTCGTCGTTTCACAAATCAGTATGCACAGACCGAAGCAAGACTTGTTTCCGCTAGTAAATGGGCGACGCATAGCGACACGTAGTACACAATTCGCAAGCTCAAATCGTAATTTGGTCCGCCGTGAGAATACAGCTTTGTGCATACTTCAAATGCTGAATTCCGTCTGCAACTTCGGGTCAGCGTCCACCTCAACCTGGCTTTTCTGTTTACACACTTCAGAAACCTGAGCTCCACCAACTATTGACCGTCTAGGCAGATGATTCAAATGCTACGCAATGCGTTTGCTATGCAGCCAAGAATGGTGCGAAATGCACTTCAACCAGACTATTTGGTATAGGAGCATATGCAGAGAAGCTCCGCCCTATAGTTTTCCCTTCATTGCCAAGAAAATTTGTCCGTGAGCATTGATATCGAATGCAACTTCATGCTTCATTAAAACAATGCTTTACTGCACATAAATTCACAGGAGCAACGTATTTGAAATTAGACGTATGCTAATGAAGTGCTTTATTTCTGGTATATCATCTGCATTGCCCTGTCTGTGGTTCCCCTTTTCAAATGACAGTCAACTGATAGCTCTAACAGTACTCCTACTACCTAAAACACAAATTCTAACAACTCAATTTGGCATTAACAATACTTCATGGGCTGCACTACAACACCCCAGTTAGGCCTGTGCAATAAAAATGCCAGAACAAAATGGCCACTTTTGTGAATACCATATTTTCTCAAATGTAACGCGACTTTTTTTTTCTAATTTTTGCTACTAGAAGATGATTCTCGCAATACATTGGAATACTGAAATTCAAATTATCTAAAAAGTGCGATGATTCACAGAATTTTTCCTTTTTTTCTTTCCTAAAACAATAGAAAGTCACCTCTCACATTACAATCCTGGTTGGCCTACAGTTGAGTAAATATGGTACTATCATTTTGTTCTTTCTTTTTGCTTCCATGTTTCATTGACGGCACAAATAACATAAAGCGCAATATAACATTTACATAGCAATTACTTTTAATAAGATCCCCTATACTTTCCTTTGCATCATTGTCTGTTAGTTCTTTTAACATAAATCTGGCGTTCAAGTGAAACTGCCACCTCAGACAGTGAACAGCACATGAAATCTTCAATTATTTTTATCCAAACATTCCCAGAAAAAAGTGGAAATGTTGGCACCAATGCTTAGCCTAGTTAAGTATTTTTCAGCAAAACATGTCACCCGAATGCAGTAGACGTACGATTTCTCTGAGGCCCGAAATTTCGAACATGCCTGATTTCCCGAACTCATCTGAGGCACTGTCTAATTCCCCATAGAGTCACTCTATTAAAATGTCCGAAATTCCGAACATTTGTAGCTTTCGGCATCCGATTTTACCGACATATTACTGTTAACAACCTAATCGAAGTCACTATCGGCGCCGTCATTTTGGTTGTTTTCGTACCCTTGAAATCATGGAGGAGTCCATGCTCAAAACCTATGGCTCAAAACCACCTAAAAACCGCAAATGCCGCAATCCATCACATGCCAATCTGTTGCCAACCAAAGCTTAGTCAAATCTGTGGCCACTGCTGCACAGTGCTGTGCTCCAACAGTTGGAAAAACTGGTCTGCCATTGGCATGCTTGCAGACTCGTGAAAAACGGTTACACAACAAACCCTCCGGAATTGTTTTCGCCATGCGAGCTTCATACTGGACTGCAGTCTTGCCCCAGGTGGAGAGCGTGTTCCACGAACTTCCACCAGCGAACAGTGCCTTCGCTTATCTGCGCTCTGTCGATGTTTCAATTCCAGTCGGGATAACCTTTCAGGGCTTCGCCGATGCTGGCAAAGACCTTGAGTTGTGTGCGGAATTGACCGATGACCAAATCATTCGCGAAGTTACGGAGGATTCCAACGACTGCGACACCGAGATCAAAGTGGCAGCAGCTACGCAGCAGAACTCGGAGTTGATGCGACCACTGTCACTGTCATCAGTGTATAGCGACGTGACGTTAGCTGAAATTGAGGCAGACATGATTGCGGGCAAGCGGAACGCCGTGCAGAACGAAAATAAGCGACTTTTTTTTTTTTTTTGCCTAAGTGTCTACAAATACGGTAGCACCCGCCACACTGGATTTTTTTTCTTTTTTTCTTTATTTCATTTTTCTAAACATAACAGCTCTTTTTCAGAGCCATTTAAACAACGCATCTGCCGAATTGTAACGAGAATCGTCTCCTCCTGTGCGACTCTTTCTGTATCAGAAAAATAACCATTAAAAAAGTGCGCTTTCGCTTGCATTCATTTTTAAAGACAACCCAATTTTCTGGACATTTTTCGGTCCCTTGAGGGTCCAGGAAATTGGGCGTCGACTATACACTCAAGTGCCAGCAGATTCGATCCACTAAAAATTATGTTGATTACATTTCTTGCACATTACAAATTATAACGAAACATGGGACTTCAGAAACAACTGAAAGCTTTGAACTTTCCCGTGACTTTTTTTAAGCTTACAGAGTTTGAACTGCGATCTATTTGCACAAACAGCACATATGAGAACCAATAATATTTCCATTGGTAGCATAAGCACAAAGAATCGTTCCTGCCCCTAAGAAGACAAGTCTGACAAAGAAAATTGCAAAAAAAATAAACTACAGAAAGAAGTGATCCCATAACATGATTCCATTCCAATTCCCTGATCTAACCACTGTTGGATGGAAAATTTCAAATGTATTCGAAAAACATTGTACTCATGTCTCATCAGAAAGGCCTCAAGACGCATTCATCCCCTTTCAAATAATGTTTTTTTTTTAACAAGCGATATCCTTTTCAACAAAATATCTTGATGTGAACAATTGGACACTTAGGGCCACAAGAAAATGGCGTTTTAGCTTATTCTTTGATAGCAAAGTATAACAAGGGTTTCCTAACCGCATATCAGATCTAGAGGAAGGCAAGAAAGCTATATACAGTCGCCGACCGATTTTTCGGACCTGGCAGGAACCGAAAAAAGTCAAAAAAATTGAACAGTTCGAAAAATTTGTTTTTGTCAGAAATATGAACGTTATTGCATCAGGCAGGCTTAAGAAAGTCCATTATTCTGCCTTGCCTCATACTACGCTTGGAAGCAATTCGGTTCGCCCATATTTGCGCCAAGGTGACATCGTCACCGCAAATGCTCGTCAAAAGCGTCACCGTGGTGGCGATCTTCGCTGCCGACAGCTGCGGCACGACCTGGCGAAGATTTTCTTCGTCTGTGGGCTCCGCACACGAAATAGTCATTATCTGCATGAGCGAAGTCTTTAAATAGGGAGTTTTAGAATAACCTTTGCAGGTGCAGCGGGCATTGTGGGTATAGCGGACACATTATGAGTTCTAGAATAGCGTTTGCTCCCCCTAGGGAAAGGTCATGGGATATTCGCCCTGACTGCAAACTCAAATGCACGGAAGCTACACACAACACTTCGGAAGACTCGTGAGCCGTGACCGCCGCACACTATTTCGAATTTTCTGCGGGCAGGCCGCGAACCGCGACTCGCGTTACGACACATGCGCAGTGGAAGCGACCGCACCGCAAGGGCTCGCGGTGCGCTCTTCTAAATCTCCCTAATGTCATTGTGGCAAGCACATTCACTCCACTACTGCGCAACTCCGCCTCCTCCCTGTATGGTGCAATGAGGACAGTGCTGTTCACTACGGCTGACCGAAGACAAGAAAATGGTCCCGTGCCGCGTTTTCTAAAGCAGACATGGCCTCCGAAACAAGAAATGTGATGTTTGCTTTCCAATCTTGGAGGCAGGATAGCCATTTTAAATTAAGTCACTAAGCTTAGTCATGCCCGCAGAAAATCCAACAAGGTGAGATTCATACAGGTTTGTGGCGCGGCTCAAAACAAGCCATTTAGTCCGAAAAATCCAACTTTATGGGGCGAATTCATCCGAAAAATCGGTCAAAAAAAATGCATGAGCCCTATGGGAACTCTGACGGTGCACTTTTGAAGTCCGAAATATCCAACGGAGTCCAAAAAATTGGTCGGCGACTGTATAGGGGTGATCTGATATATAGACTATATTAGTAATATTAAATGTAGAGCTTTTACATCCCAAAACCACAATATTAGTGAGCAAGACACCTCATTACAGAGCTCTGAAAATTTCAACCATTTGTGGTTCTTTAACACATAACTAAATATTAGCACACGGGTTTCTAGCACTCTTCTGCTATCGAAACGTATCCTGCAGGGCCAGGATTTGATCCCACGACCTTCAGGTGAGTGTTTGAGCCCCATAATCACAGGACACACTGGGGAGAGTACAGGGAGAAAATTCATGTACCTTTACATTTCATACTGGAAATACATTTCAGGGTATTTTACAGCTGTTTGATATACACAATAATTCGTTATATGTGGGTTCAACACAGTATAGACATTCATTGATTGATTGATTTGTGGGGTTTAACGTCCCAAAACCACCATTTGATTATGAGAGACGCCGTAGTGGAGGGCTCCGGAAATTTTGACCACCTGGGGTTCTTTAACGTGCACCCAAATCTGAGTACACGGGCCTACAACATTTCCGCCTCCATCGGAAATGCAGCCGCCGCAGCCGGGAAACGAACCCGCGACCTGCGGGTCAGCAGCCGAGTACCTTAGCCACTAGACCACCGCGGCGGGAGTATAGACATTCATTAAACAGAACCTGGTGGGACCAGGGAAATATGTTCCACTTAATGGGAGTTCCGTTAACCAAGAGATAAATAGGGGTGCAGCAGGCTAGCAACAAACAAATCACATCGCAGGTGATTGTTCTACTTAAGCAGCAGTTGCGCTCAACAGATTTCTGTTTACTGAGAGTCCACAGTACAACGGTGCTCGGCTGTAACTGCGTCGAAACAGGGAAGAAGAAAACTAGAGTAAGCTTACAGACAGGGACGTTCCAAGCTTACCGCGTGCTTCGTGAAACTCCAAGGCAATGTGGGCGTCCACGCCGATAGAGAAATAATTATTCACAACATTTAAAGGCACAGTCTCCTTGCCTTCTTCGCACTGAGAGATGTCCACCTCTGGGTTTCTATTTACAATTAGGTCCCACCTGCACAGTCAAAAGACAGGTTGGTTAGCAAATTGAAAAAAAAAAAAAAAAACAAGCTATCCCTACAAATTCAAATGCATGAAGAAACAGAGTGAGATGCTATAAGCTTGGAATGCTCAAGTATTCAAGCACTTTCAATATTCGAGCAAATATTACAGTAGTTATATTCGCTTCAATGCGAATTTACATAGTTCTAAACTTTCATTCAAAATGAACGAATGGGTGTGTAGACCGCAAGCAACCTCCCTGTAAAGGTCGTTTCACTGCTGGAAAATAGGAGTACAATGCAGTGAAAGCAGCTACCCCCGAAAAACTGAGCACTGCCACGATGCCCTATTTCAAGGACAAATTAACATACTTGCCTCACATTGATTCATCATTTTGCGCTAACGCTTGTTACATGGGCCTATATGTTCTAAGTATAGCAAATTTTAAAACGCAACATATTTTGCAGGTTATCACTTGCATAACACTGAAATTCCCATTCTGATACTATTCAAAGTTCCCCACACTTCTCTTTGAACCAAGAAGAATGACGTTCCCACATGCCTTGGTACAATTCTCAAAAAATTGTAGCGATCAAGTAGCGGCCTAAAAATATGATCTATGTTTTCTGCAATACGTGATATGCACTATTCAAACTATTTGACTTGAACTATTGTCTTCGAATATACTTCTAACCTAAAATTTCCTATTCACACATTTCTGGTCACTACTGTTTTATCAAAACAATAACAGTTATCTAACTTCTCAAGCCACCCTCCCCCTACCTTTACCCACCCTTTTTTTTTTCCCACCTCCATGAAAGGCATGATGCTTTTGTATACATGTTTCATGCTCTATAGTTGCTTGGTATCATGGAGTGTATAATTGAAGTCAGTCTAGGAAAGTTTCTAGCATTTGTATAATTATTTCTGACAGCATTTGTACCTATTTAGTGTATGAGCACCTCTAGCACTTCTAGGTACTGGTTCAATATGCCTTCCCTTGTGGATGAAGCATTAATTTAATTTATCCGTGGGAGCATAGCTGTGGGCACAGCTGGCATCATTGCTTATGTTGTAACCGAATATGCAATGACACTTCATAACAAGGGGCGCAAGTCTGCCATTTTCGTGCTTGAAGTTATTCCGGTGAAGCAACTCACCTGTCCAGCTGGACAATGTCCCCGTTTTGAACATCTTGGAGTATCTTTGATATGGGCTCGTCAGTGTAACCCTGGAAGCAACGAGAAGACGGTAGAGTCAGCAATTATTTCCAGAGTCAGAATGCGCTTCCTTTCAAACAACAATGTTTTTTAAGCAGGTTGTGAAGGCTTTGGTGCATATAAATATGTACAGAAAGGAGGCGGCAAGTATGCGCACAGAAGTTGGGACACTGCCACAACTAAATGCTGGTTTAATGAAAAGGCAAAGAAGGCAACAGGCGAGCGGCAAACACCACTTTAGACATTTCTAGACAGACATAATCAGCTAAAGAGAAAAGCTTTATTAAGCCAACAGGATTAACCTAGTGATTAATGCCATGACTGCACATTAAAGCTTTGCTGAAGCACTTGTACCGAGTGCTTCAGTGTTTCATACGAGGGAATACTAGTCTAGAACCTCTCTGCACTGAGAATAATTTTAGATATAAAAACCTAGCACCACCTGGTTAAAGCCTAGCAATCATCTAGAAACAAACTAGCATAACCTAGAAAGCCTAGCAACTATATTAAAACAAACTGGCATGACCTAGAAAGCCTAGCAACCACCTAGGAACCAACTAGCATGACCTCGTGAAAGCCTAGCAACAAACCAGAAACAACTTGGCATCACCTAGTGAAAGGCCAACACCAACCTAGACACAACCTTGCATCACCTAGCGAAAGCCTAGCAACAACCTAGAAACAACATGGCATCACCTAGCTAAAGCTTGGCAGCAACGACCCAGAAACAACCTAGCATCAGCTAGTGAAAGCCAACAACCTAGAAACAATCTGGCATCACCTAGCAACAACCTAGAAACAACATGGCATCACCTAGCTAAAGCTTGGCAGCAACCTAGCATCACCTCGTGAAAGCGCAACTACCCAGAAACAACCTAGCATCAGCTAGTGAAAGCCCAACAACCTTGAAACAACCTCGGCATCACCTAGTGAAAGCCTAGCAACAACCTAGAAACAACATGGCATCATCTAGCTAAAGCTTGGCAGCAACCTAGCATAACCTCGTGAAAGCGCAGCAACTACCCAGAAACAACCTAGCATCAGCTAGTAAAAGCCCAAGAACAATCTAGAAACAACCTGGCATCACCTAGTAGAAGTCTAGCAACAACCTAGAAACAACATGGCATCACCTAGCTAAAGCTTGGCAGCAACCTAGCATCACCTCGTGAAAGCGCAGCAACTACCCAGAAACAACCTAGCATCAGCTAGTGAAAGCCCAACAACCTAGAAACAACCTGGCATCACCTAGTGAAAGCCTAGCAACAACCTAGAAACAACATGGCATCACCTAGCTAAAGCCTGGCAGCAACCTAGCATCACCTCGTGAAAGCGCAGCAACTACACAGAAACAACCTAGCATCAGCTAGTGAAAGCCCAACAACCTAGAAACAACCTGGCATCACCTAGTGAGAGCCTAGCAACAACCTAGAAACAACATGGCATCACCTAGCTAAAGCTTGGCAGCAACCTAGCATCACCTCGTGAAAGCGCAGCAACTACCCAGAAACAACCTAGCATCAGCTAGTGAAAGCCCAACAACCTAAAAACAACCTGGCATCACCTAGTGAAAGCCTAGCAACAACCTAGAAACAACATGGCATCACCTAGCTAAAGCTTGGCAGCAACCTAGCATCACCTCGTGAAAGCGCAGCAACTACACAGAAACAACCTAGCATCAGCTAGTGAAAGCCCAACAACCTAGAAACAACCTGGCATCACCTAGTGAGAGCCTAGCAACAACCTAGAAACAACATGGAATCACCTAGCTAAAGCCTGGCAGCAACCTAGCATCACCTCGTGAAAGCGCAGCAACTACCCAGAAACAACCTAGCATCAGCTAGTGAAAGCCCAACAACCTAGAAACAACCTGGCATCACCTAGTGAAAGCCTAGGAACAACCTAGAACCAACATGGCTTCACTTAGCTAAAGCTTGGCAACAACGTAGCATCACTTCGTGAAAGCCTAGGAACAACCCAGAAACAACCTAGCATCCCCTAGTGAAAACCTAGCAACAACCTAGAAAAAAACCTATATCTAGCCAAAGCCTAGCGACAACCTCGAAACAACCTAGCGAAAGCCTATGTTGTTTCTAGGTTGTCAACGTAGCTTCACCTAGCTGAAGCCTAGCAACAATCTTGAAACAACCTAGCATCACCTAACTATAGCCAAGCAACAACCTAAAATCACCTAGCTAAAGCCTAGCAACAACTAAAGCAACCTGAATACACGTAAGAATCAGCTAGACTTGCTGTTTTGATCCTTGCACGACGTGTTGCAAGGTTTGCTTTTTTTTTTACTGCAAATGCCCGTTTTTTCAAGGAAGGTTTCTCAGTTGTAGCTGACAAAAACGATGCGCTGGCTGTTTTACATGCCTCACCGACAACATGAGACACAATCAAGCACCCCTACTTTGTCACAGCTCCCATCAGAATTCACAGTTCCTCTCAGTCTCAAAATTCAGATGAAAAACTTGCGCACCATTCCAATCTGTGAAGGTAGATGACCAGCAATGCTGTGCCAGACACAACACACTGGTAACACATACGAGTTTTGATGAAAGGTACAAAAAGGCGGAATTGTTGAATTTAGAGTATGCATCTTTAAAGAACTTTCACTTCGATTCACATGAGCAAAGGTGTAACGGGCAGATTAGTTGTTTACTTATTCATTTATTTATGCATTTATTTATCCCTTTCCTGTAATGTTAATTTGCTGTAGACCATTGGTGAGTAGCAAGATTTGTCCAACTTCTTTGGCACATATTAGGGGTATTCTGTCAAGTAGGCCAACTGCACAGTGAGTAACAAATGACCTAGTTGTAAAAGCAGTCAGAGTTGTCACCAGTTAAAGTCACTGGTCTTACCCCTCCCCAGCCGAGTGCACGAGCGAGGTCGTTGCCCGTTCCAAGGGGTAGCACCGCGACCGGCGGCGGGGGCACGATGCCGATCTCGTCGATCACGGACAGGATCCAGCCCGCCGTTCCGTCGCCCCCGCAGGCCAGTATTCGCAGGTTGTTCACTTTGCGGTACAGTTCGAGACTGCACACACAGAGAAACAGTGCAATAATTACACTAAGTCTGCCTGGAAAAAGAAAACAATGCGATGATGGCGTAATCTGGTGACCTAGTACAATAAATGAGCAAGCACAATGACAGCACATGTGGCCTGAACTTATTACTCGAAAATTCTGAACTCTATGGCAATCACTGATCACTGACCCCCTACTACATCTTTACACAATGTAAGTAATGTTGAAGAACGGTAATGAGTCATTTACCCCAAAAGCAGAATAAGACCGTGTGATTGAATTCTCTAGAGATATATTCATCTCAGCCTTTGTGCAAATTCATTAGGGCGATTCAGAGCTAATTTGCTTTCAAACAATGCAGTATATAATGTTTAGGAATGCTGACTGATCATGAACCCCATCCAGTGCACTACAGATTAATACCCTTAAATGGCCCAATTCCTTAAGGCAAATTCACCGCATCAGTTCAGTCCCCGCCAACAGTACTTGGTTGGTTTATGAAGTAACACACCTTTGGAACATCATCAAGCTGTGCATGTGCAAGCCATTTGCAATTATGTGAAACAGATCAGAAAATAAATCTCAACTTTTTAATATCAGGAATGCTCAGAAAGAAAGCTGCATGTATGTATACGTAGTTCAGCTACCAAGTTCAAACTTCTAAGGATCATTTAAGGGTTGTTTCTGGCCAGACATTTGGATCATAAAGAAGTTAATTTTAGTTTTTTAAGCTTAAACATTATAAACTCATGCTTGAGCAGGAAGACTAAGCACAAAGATGGAAGACGTGAAGGACGCAGAAACATGCCGATGCGGGTGACACTGACCCCTGTCTGGGACCTCCTTCGGAGAGGTCAAACACCTGGCGTGGGTTTAGAAGCCACTGGAACTTCTGCATCATCTTGGACCCCTGGTTACCCCCACTCCGCGGGTTAATGAACACCAGCAGGGGCTTGCTCGACGCACACGGGATAGGCTTGATGGCAAACGCTCGCTGTGTGTCCTTGTCTCCGCATCCCTGAAAAGAAACCAATTCCCAAGAAAGATGTTCAGCTCATCTTCAAAAACTGGATAGCACAGAAACTAGCCAACATGTGACGTTTTAACAGCTAAGATTCTGCAAACCACCAGCACAAGCCTCGTTCAATTAAATTTTGTTTAATGAAGCTATCAAGGATGCTATAAATGTACATACTGAATTATTTGCTCTGACTACTTGTAATCTATTACAAGTACAAGCTAGCCAACAATACAAGAACAAGCTGGACAAGTAAGTAGGATGACAATTACAAGCTAGACACGTATGTAGTAGTGAATTATCAGCCGTCGATTACTAGCAAAGCTTTACGTTTCATTCCTGGATTTAGCTGCGCTAAGCCATAGAAGAACACACTACGTACCATAGACACTGTTACGGGAGAGCACACAGGGAAACGAGGCGATAGTTGAGATATATTTACACGACGTCAAGCATAAGCCGAGATGGCAAGAGAGGGCGCGCACCCCACATCCCGCAATCACGTCGTCTTTCTCGCTGTTTCTCTTGCTTGTTTAGCGTGATGTAGTCTTCTAACAATAAATTTAGAAATTCGATTTCAGCAAGTCCTGAAGTGAGCTGTGAAACAGTCTATGTTGGAAATGTAATTGGTATTTATGTCTAGAGTTCTTTAAGTTTGCAATCCTCACTAATTTCATTAATACCTAATTGAGAAATCAGTGACATGCAATAAGTTACATCACCGACAGACGACAAAGCATTATAGGCAACAAACTGAAACCCACTGTAATGGTCATATAACGAATTATTGGCTATAATAAAGCATGTGAAAAATAAATTTGTCTTAGATATAGAGTGACTGGTATACATTTCTATTAATTTTTTGGATATAATGAAGCATTTTTGTGGCAGGTGTGACTTCATTAATAACGAAGCTTGAGTGTAAAACGGTCAGTACTGAAAAAAATTACCACAATCACAAGTATCCAGCACTCAAATTTGACAGGAATTCAGGTAAAATTGCCAAGGTTATTCCTCAAGCTACCTTGCTGGGAACATTGGCCCACACAAGTTCGTTTTCGTAATGTGTACAAGTCTAGAATGTACAAGTCTGACAAATGCCCACCTCTTTGCGAGACTTCTTTTTTGTCGACGCCCGCTTTTTTGGCGACCTCCGTATGGAGGACTTGAAGGATCCTTTCCGGGGCAACTTGACGATCCACGATGGCGGCACGATGATGTCCATGTGCGTGCCCAGGCAGCACTGCTCGCCGATCCTTTGCATACTGAAACACGACTCCCTGTTGTGGTAGGCTGTCTTGCACCACGTGCAGCTGATGGCCACTATCTCCTGCACGCAACAACGTAGATAAGTGCAGACTCGAGTGAATGCAGTGGCAACCGTTACGCTTCAAGTGCTCTCGAGAGATGCCGGCTCACAGCGTTAAATTGACTTGTCTGTCATGTGCATAGGTCGGCGAACTAATGCATGAGACGACTTACTCAGACTCATATTGGCCTTCCTGTCCGAGTCTGAATGATTCAAACAACCCTTGGGTCAGCAGCCGAGCACCACAACCGCCACACTACCGTGACGAAGTTCAACACGCACCTAACATATATAAATGCAGTACTATACTGTTTGGGTGGTGGATCATTTTTGTAATTACGGTCATTTTTATTATTATGCTGTATGTCTTCAATATGTATAAGTGCACTTTTCTGTACCATTACTTCCAAATCTTGGGCGTCTATTTACTTAGATTTAGTTGTACGTTGATGAAACCCAAGTGGTCCAAATTTCCAGAGCCCTCCACGACGGCGTCCCTTATACTGATATCATGGTTCTCGAACTAAAACCTCAACAATTATTATTATCACTTCAACGATACAAGCCACATACCCTTTGCTTCAACCAAGAGCTGTAATGTACACTCAATGCATAAATTATTATAAATCCAAAAAGCACGTGTGCTTACCTTGCTACCAAATGAGAGTTTTGACTGAAAGGACTGCAAAAAGAGAGAAACAAGGACGCCCGAGTGGGATAAGACAATGTTACAAATCTTGTGCAAAAAAAAAAAAGAGCATGCACTGTTTCACAGAGGAATAGCGAAGCTCACCTTGCTACACTGTTGGCACTTCCCTTTCTCGTAGCGCCTATGTACCCAGTGGTGCTGAATCACAGTTTGCTGCAATAGAGTTTTCCTCTAAATTTCTTCTTCGTTCATTTTTGACACTACAGCACTCACAGGTAGCTTAATCTTTTGCAGCACAATTTATAACCGACAGGTCTAAAGGCATGAAAGCTTGCATTGCATTTTTCGAAATAGACATTGTACAGAAAAACTTGAACCTTGAGAATGAATATAAAGCGTACTTTTTATCGGACTTTGCAATTAAAAAAGTTGTTGTCTGCGTAACTGCATGCGCTAAAGTGACAGACCTAATTTGAAGTGTTTTTGCTTTTCGCCTAATGAGACCTCGAAAAATCTGTTGAGTCTCTGTATGAATGTGACTCTGTACGGACACACAAATTCTATGTTTCTGTAATTCAGTTCCTCAATTTATTTGGCTCGGTGCTGATGTCGGCTGTGCTCCTTCCAGCCGAAAGGATTGAATGACCGCTTCAGAAAAGTGATGCGTTTGAATTTAGTTTGTGGTCAAGGATCAGCTTTTTTTCTCTGACTGCAAAGCACTTTTTGCCTCCCCTGTAATACCAAAATGAGGTCTATTTATAACAATGCTCCACATTTAGAATGATAACAGACTTATTTTGTTTTTGTGACACCTCCTATAATTTGTGCATTCATGCTTGAGATTCTCCATAATCAGTGTTACGTGTCCACCAACACTCCTCAGTTTGGAGCCAATTACACAATTAAGTTAGATGTGCCTCTTCATGAACAACACAAAACAGGCTAGATGAGACCAGGTACCATATTTTCTCGCATATAGCCCGCACAACAATACAGGAAAATTTAGAGCTGAAGTGAAGTTGCAGATGTCGCCCAAATTTCGGAGCCCCATTTTCGGCTTTATGGCACCACTTCATGTTAATTTGAAGGAGACTGTTGAACAGCAATTGGTTGAAAAACGTTTTTCTATTTTTCTGCAGCTTGTCGTTGGGTGTGCGGGCTATATCAAAAATGTATCAAATGCAAGTATACACAAGCAAATTTGGTACATATAAAATTCATACATTAGCAAAGATAGGGTATGCTTACCTCTCGATATTGTCTGATGCCGACATCTCTGAATGTTGGCTTACACTGAAACTTCATCTGAGAAAAAAAATGTACATTACAAATATTAGTATACTGTGAATTACTGTTCTGCGTGCACAGAGCACTGCGTTTTGCAGTCATAAAAAGCTATTGAGAAGATGACACACAACCATACAGTCATTCGATAATGTTAAGAGACACTACACAGCCTGTCATAAAAAATAAGCAAGTGTCAAAGCTATTAGGTAAGCGGCTGTTAGAAGAGGCAGGTAAGCGATCCCGTCCGTCAGTAATGCAGCTGAAATGTAGCATATCGGAGGACTAACAACATCGATCATCATGCATCAGAAGAAACACCACTTCATTTCTTTCTAACAATTCACTTGAACATCAATGACAGTGTCTTTATTGTACATAATATTTTGCTTAGCACTTTAATTCTTTATGTCAGCTTAGCATCATCAATAGCTGAGACTCTGTAGTTTAATACTGCAGGTGATAACAAAGTGGTGCATATACCCTTGTAGAGATAACAAAGACAATCTTCAAAATTTAGTCTCAATGCCATTTCATTACAAACACATCAGGGTCTTTGGTGCATGAAGCAAACTTCCTTTTATAATGACCTGAAAGACAAACAGATTTCTAAGGACTATCTCTGTTTCTATTTGAGGAGTGTCAAGAAAAACCCAAAGTGTAAATAATGTGCCAACGTACTTACTTTATCACTTAAAATGGTAATGCATCCGGCATGAACAGTTATTTTACAAGCTGGGCATTTCATCCGGGGTCCGTGTTTCTGAAGAGAGATGGAGAAAAAAAAGAAATGCGTATCTTCACATCAAAGCCAATTTCAAATCAGCTTGATAGTTTCCTACAATTAATGGCATTTGTTGACATGCTACACGCCATAACAGAAGCACAAGAAATATAACCGAGTGAAATTGAGGTTTTTTTATGTGGCTTTGCTCTGCAACTCATACACATTTATTACTTACTTTATTTTAAATATTGTAAGCCATCAGATTATGTTTACATGGCTTAACATACCTATAACTCCCAGGTAATTTGAGGTTCTCAAACTCTATGAAATTAATAATACGAAATTCAATTGCAACATTGCTAAACATTACAATGCCGACCATTTAATGGCTTATGATCTCATGAAATGCACAGACCAAGAATCTCTAAAATTGAAAGAACCACTAATGTACATGCACAGGTGCATGAATACAATATTATAAACTGCACATGCCATTCAAGTGCAATAGTCAACATAACGTTAGACATTCAGGTGCACAAAACTACACAAAGCCATTCAAGTGCAAAACCATACATGTCAATGGCAGTTTAAAAGTACCTTGGCACTCTTCTGAAAAGTCAACAATTAAATGGATCATGTACAGTAAACTGATAACTCAGAATATACACGCATGCACATCAATGAGAAAATGACTATAATATGATCTCACAGGCAGTACTTACTGAGCATTCACTCTCTCCCACATAACAGAGATCCCCAGAGGCACTAGTGGCTGTCCATAAGTGGTCCCCATTGATAGCACTTTCCTATGTGAAGGAAGAGAGCAGCAAAAAAAAAAGTACTGCCGACACCAGTTTCAACAAACACAAAGCAGTGACAATGACAAGCAAATGAAAAAGGGGCCGCAGTGGGGACAGGATAAAAACAAAGATACAGAACAAGGCACAGTAGTCGCACTGATGTTTTCACAAGCATGACAAGTTTAACACCCATGTTGAGCTTACCGATTACCCCTCGCGGAACCTACAGTCGATCCGAACCAACGACCTCGTCTCGGCATGGCCCAGTATGGTGAGAAACCCCTGATAATTTGAATGCATCTGTATCTCTTCTAAAGAACACAACTACCTCAGCTCTATTGTAACTTCTGCATCCACAATGGTTAATTAGACTGGTTTTCATCACCCCTAGCAGAAGTTGGTCCAGGGTGATGAAAATATGTTGCAAAACATAAGCAGCCCAAATTGGAGTCAAATGCTTCAGTAACTATGTCTCAATTCAATTGATGAGTACTAAACCTTGAGGGTGTTATAAACGATGAGAAACTCGCGCAGTGTTTAACGTCGACAAAGAAGTCACTCACCCCCCAGTCAGGTGTGGCACGGTACTGCCTCGTATCTCCATTCTCGGCGGGGAGTTTGACTTCTCCCTGGATTGCTTTTCTGTAAAGAGGCAAGGGGAGATAGGTGAAGCCCGGTTGCATTGCAACGATATTAATGCTATGCTACACTGCACTACGAACCAACCGTCATCACACTACCACACAAAATCCATCTCCAACAGAGGAGACCCCACTCAAGAGTCGAACATTATCTAGCTGCGCAAGTCTACTGCTTCATGTTGCCTTTGCCATTGCAAGAGATAGCAAAAGAGTGCAGTCGACGGGTAGGTTTATCAACAATAGATGGCCCAATGTTTATAGCGATAAAATATTGGCAGATGCGTAGAGAAGTAGACACCCCGACTGAAAAGACGGACATTCAAGCAAAAGCTGCTTACATTGGATCTTAAGTTCAAATTAGCACTATAAATCGATTTGACTTTTTGTGCAATCTATTTAAGATGTACTCTGGTTGCTTGATGAAATTCAAGTTCACAATCTATTTGTAAACGGAATGAAAATACAATTTTACGTTGAGCTCTTTAATGAGGTTAAAACAACGAAACTTAGAAAGGTAGCTGAATAATGTATAAGTTGAAAAAGTAAGAGCACCCACAATGCAGCACTTTGTTTGGGTGTTCTTACTTCGCTTTCATTTCATGCGTTGTTTTAATACCACAAGGAAATCAAACCAAACAAACGATACATGCTTCGCACGGACTACTGCACTCCCAAGCCTTCTTTTTTTATTTGCAAATGTTCAAGTAAAAAGGAATGGTCCACACAATCAAGTGTATACAATGCCCAAACAAAAGCACAAATGTTATCATCATTGTTAGCACGCTAGAGCTGTGTTGTAATCAATGGTCACGTAATTTTGGACATTTCATTTCCTCGACCCTTATAACACATCGCACTATTTTTTTCAAGAGCTGTGTCAAAGCTATCCAAAACATTGTCAGTATCTAACGATTATGCATATAGCAGAAGATAATACAGGTACTAAAAAGAAGTGACAAAGACTCGGATATCTTTCGACCACGTCTGCCAACAGGAAGTGTTTACTGAATACAATAAGCAGAGACAATCTTTTTTGAACATTTTTCATACGAATGCTGCACATGGAAACGACTCCAAGCCAGAATGTGACAGTGTGTCAGCATAAAGCTCATTTTGTCAGTGAAAGCCAGAATGTTGCATCGCACTGTCTTGCATTGTATAAATCTGTCAATCAAGTCTTTATTTCTGTTTATACATACAAGCAGAAGCAAACGTCCTAGTCTCCGCATCCTAGTCTTCAGTGACACCGGCTGCAAGTCACTCCTTTCGCGTATGGGAAATTTGGTATCTTACACAAGAGCCCAAATTTTTTACTTTTTTTGACAGGGAGAACGGGCAGGGAAGTTCTCCATTCAGATATCGATTGATGATCATGATCGCATAGTTGCTTACACCTTAGAGTTATAGCGTCCTCATCCGGAGGCACAATATTTGTTTTGCCACTTCAGTGCATTATTGCAAAGGAAGAGACTGCAAACACTGAGCTAATGGGAAATTAAGCATCTTTGTCATCTAAACTTATTTCATGTCACTTCTGGTAGAAATATTTTGCCAAGAACAATCGCAAAAAAGCAGTACCCTATTCAACGAGGACTTGGACATGGCACATTCTGGATGAAGCTGTAAAATATTTGTTTTCGCTTTTATCGGAATGCTTGATGCTAACGATAACTATTGTATGTAATTTCAGAGAATCGTTGAATTTTGTTACGAAAAATATAGCATTACTAAATTTACAATTACTGTATAATTGTTATAATCACAATTAATTGTTGTAAAATACACTGTGACTTGTCTACCGCTTTCATTCGGTTGCCAGAACCTGGGAATCAAATCTCGTAGATTTGACACATTAATAGAGTGGATCATTATGCATGTCACAAAGGGGTAATCCTAGAGGTAATATTAACAACATTTGCTGGCTTCCCAGTGGGTAATGCAACAACGCTTCAACAGCTAGCTGAGACGGATTCCACACGTTGGTAATGTCATGCCACCCTACGTGCACTGCACGTGCGAAAGTAGGTTGAGATGTTCTAGCAAGTGCGCGTGGTCATTAATTCAACGAAACATGATGATGATTATGAGTGGTGTTTAATGGCGCAAGGGCCAATTGATGGCCAAAGAGCACCATTTCAATAGACTAGACATGAACAATGACCCCTTTGCCCCTTTGCAGCCACGCATTATAATTCCTCGCGCAAACGCGGGTTAAAACATGGAAGTAATAAAATGATGATATATAGGTTTTAATGGCACAAGGGCCATACTTGGCCAAAGAGCGCCATGGAAAATGTTGATAAAATGGCAATGGTGCATGATTTCATACAATATGTACAGGATATGAACTATGTTACTGTTTCACAGATGTAAAGAGGCCTAAAATTCCTCGCGCTAACGCGGGTTAAAACATGGAAGTAATAAAATCATGACAGTGGCGTGAGATATGTGTAGTGAAAGTGGATGGCAAAATGTCATGATAAGGAAACTATGATGGAGATGTAGTCACCGCAGCCACGACCACGATACAAAGGTCGTGCTACGGATGACCTCGAAATATCAGGTAAAAGCTATGCACATCTTTTAAAAACATGAAAAGTGTTTGCAGTTTAAAAAGCGGATCCCTACCGATGAGCATCCCAGGGTGTAGTGGGAGCTGCTGTCGGTAGGGCAGTAAAAAAAATGCTTTTTTCTTAGAGCATCTAGCTCATTGCACTGGACGAGAATGTGGAGAACTGTAAGTGGTTCTCCACATCTCTCACAATTTCGTGGATTGCCGGTAGATAGAAGATATGAATGTGTGGAGTATGTCCTGTTCTAAGCCTTGTTAGTGTTACTTCTGTGTGTCGCGATTTTGATAGTGGCAGCCAATTACCTAGTTGGTGCTTAATAGCATGGGGTTTATTATCTGTGTGTCTATCCCACGTGCTCTGCCAATACTCCCTGAGTTTTCGTTTTAGAAATGGTTTCAAGTCAAGTGCAGGGATTGGTAATAATGCATTGGAAGTAGTGCCGTTCGCGGAAGCAGCCAGCTTGTCGGACAAAACGTTCCCTTGTGTTGCACAGTGCTCTGGCCCCCAGCAGACAATGACATGCTGTTTTGATGTGTACAGTGTGCACAGAAGTGAGTAAAGTGACACCAGCACGGGGTTCTTGTGTTTTTTAGGAGTTTTCAGAGCTTTAACCGCACTTAGGGAATCTGTGTATATTATCGCCTTTTTGTAATTATATATCTGTTTGATGTGTTTTACAACTGCCAGTATTGCATAAGCTTCTCCTGTGAAAATGCTTGCATCAGGATGAAGAACGCCGGCCTCGGAAAAGGATTGGCCTACCGCTGCATTTACCGACGCCTCAAAGTCCAACACAGAAGTGTTGGACTTTGAGGCGTCGGTAAAGAACCCAGGGCATGTGTATTTATGTTGTAGTTCTAGGAAGTATGTATGTCTGTATGCAAGTGGTGCATGCCTTGTGACTTCAAGAAAAGGGACATCACAGTCTATACGCTGCCACTACCACGGTGGCAGATATGCTACAGGAGCCATCAAACTGTGTTCAAGAAGAGGCACACCTGTTCCTTCGGCCAAGCCCCTTACATGGAGCAAGTAGGGCTGCTGCAAAGACGGAAGGTTCTCCAACAAGCCAGAACAAGACAAATCATTACTTGTGAAATGAGGGGGGTGTTTCTTGTCAGCCTTCACTTTCAGAAAGTACAAAAAGGACAAGTAACATCTTTGTAGGTGGAGTGACCATTCATTTGAATCCACTGTCAAATCAATGAAGTTCACTGAAGTGTTGCATTTCAAGAATGCACAAACCAGATCGTAATAATGCAAGGATGAGTCTTTCTATTATACATATATATAGGGTGTGGTGCATTAATACTTTTTCATGCAGAATACAAAGACATAACTTAAACTTATATTTAACTTTCAAAATGATGAGACATGAACTCTAGCAAGTTGGTAGGCTCAATAGATTTTGTTGTTGAGCTAGTTGGTAATTCGTCATATTGTTGGCAATTCAGCGCAACTTTGTACTCCCACAAACACTCATACATTCACTCACCACACACAGCGCTCGTTCAGCGAAGGAAAGTTGCCGTTGCACAAACAAATGGACACAACGCAGAAAGTTAGCTGTGCTCTCTTTAGATAATAAAGGCCTTGGCCTATTTGGACGGAGATTTCACTGCAGAAAACGTTTGAATTTGAGTGACGGCTCCACTAGGTTACTAGCAGTGAACATCTCTGAATGCTATATTAACCTAAAATAAATACTGAAATCTTGGAAAGACATCAACAAACCTGCCACTCTGTGTGTCAGTCATCGACCGATTAAACAGCATACAATAGCGTCGCTTTGCGATACGAATCACCACAGCATAAACGGCCAGCAACGTGTGCGGTTAGAACGACCAGTTTTATTAATAGAGAGAGATCAATAAACAAATACCGACATACGCTGTAATCTATTGGGTAGGTCTTACATTTTTCCCGTTTTCAAGAGGCACTTGCTCTTGAGCGCTGACACAGGAGTGGCCGAAGCTACTCCCAAACGATGAACTTGCTCCCACATACGATTGAAATGATAGCATATCACACGAAGGGGTATAGGGCCACGGAACAAAAATGAAGTATAACGCACGCACACACACATACACACTCAAGGGCTTCGCCGCACACTTCTAAAAGCGACGCTACATGATAGCCTCAAATTGTAGGCGTCGGCAGTTTTTGCGCACTACATGGGGCCGCGTCACCGCTATCGTTTCGCAAGGCGATATCCGCTTGCTGTTCCATTCCGGGCTGTCATACACACGCGCGCCGCAAGCACACACATAAGCAAGCACCTCGAACGACCACTTTTCTTTCTGTTTTTGCTTTCTGACGCAGGATACAAGCACGAGCGGCTTCGAAGCGCCTAGCGCTGTCTTTCCCCCGCGCGACACGTTCAACGGTTGCACAAGGGTATGACACGCGTTAATTGCTCGCGCCCAGACCCGAACCCCCCTTTTTTACTGTCGTCGCCGGCGAAGAACGCTTCATTCAAGCGCACTTGGGCAAGCGAAGCTATTAAAGACGACGGCCCCTTAGCAACGAATCCCGGCTCGAAGGTCAAACATCGTCGCAGAACCAGGGACCGGCATTTGAACGTAGCATCGGAATATGGCGAGACTCAAAAAAACAGCGAACACCTGCGCCGCGCACCGGTTTTTCACGAATGGCATACGCGCACATACACACAGGCCCACTCACAAGCTGTCGATGACGTATCGTTCTAAGCGCTGCTTCTCGCACGGGTGGTCATTCATCCCAGCGTTAGCGACGAGGCGGAAACGCCAGCGCCGAAAGGCACGGATCGCGGCGGCCGCCTCGCCGGGCGTTATCGGCGGCGGACTGCGGTTTATTCGACAGCAGCACTTTCGGTCAATCTTGGCGTGGCAGTTCATTGCATGACAACGTCACTTAGCGGCGTAACACACGAATACGCTTGATGATACGTCGGCACGGCGCCGAAGCGCACCATGCACCCCGGAAGAGGGGAAACCCCTGTTTACTGTGCGCGGTCTGTTTTTGTTTGTGCACTGCTTTTTTTTTGCAAGTTCGTTGTTGCTTGCACTAGTCTTGTTTTTCGCTAAACTTGGCAGAAATAAGCGTTCTTAGTCATTTTTGCAGTTTAGTGGAGAGACAGTTCGCAAATTCCGCAAGGGGTACTGAATTTATGAATTTTTTTGTATGAGTATGTACAAGCACACACAAACACATGGACCAAAATACATGGAGCGTGAAATACTTTGATTCTGTAGGTTGGTGAGGCTGCCGTTGGTCATGCGGTCCCTAAATTAAATTAGTGTACTTGCGTCGTTATGGAGGAAGAAATATTAGGGTTTTCTTCCTCCATGAGTGTACAGCTCGTGTACGCGCCATTAATGCATGTACAGGGAGTGCTGCAATCATCTATCGAAGGAGCTTAGGCCAGTATTCACCAACCAACAGAAACAACATTCCTATCTAACCCTATTGCGCTTGTTTCTCAATCTATTGCTGCTTGATGAACACAGTAGCTAGGTCAGTATTTATGAACCTATCTTATCTTTTACTCTGTAACAATTTCCGTGTCCTTATTACGCATGTAGACAGTACAGAAACTTGAGGAAAACGTGAGACTGGTTGGTTTGTGAATGCTGGCCTTGAGTCACTGCATATATGATCCTATTTTGATTGGTTGATCTGTGGTGTTTAACGTCCCAAAACCACCATATGATTATGAGAGACGCCGTAGTGGAGGGCTTTGGAAATTTCGACCACCTGGGGTTCTTTAAGCTGGCATATATGCTCCTATGACACTTTGTGAATTCCTGGGAATCTTCGGCAAAAGCCTGGGGGTGTCCATCTCTACGCCTCCACTATGCTCCGCTACGGTGCCATGCGCCCAAGCCGCTGTGCAATCAGGTGATTGTTGAGAGAGTGTGAGGGGAAGAGGCCGCAGCTGGCACCGTTCCAGGGCAAGGACGGACAGACGCAAGTATGAGACATTAAAGGCGTTCGCCTTGATACCACACGCGCATTCAGCAAGTGCCTGCGATGTCAGCGCCATGTTCCCGTTACTTCTGAAGATGGGCACGCACGAGTCTCTCACCAGCTGGATCAGTTCGTGCTTGTTTCGTTAATTAGGAGGTTCATATGAAATGTTTCCCCACAGAATTCGAGCACACTTTAAAGACGCATTGACGCTGTGTCTAGTAATCATTATTGATGGTTTCCAACAGAAGTTCTTATTCAGCCGGTGATTTGCTTAGTCCCCATGCTTGAGCTCTACAATACCGTCCTTTGAACTTGCGTGCTATCGCGTTTATCATGCACTAGGGATTACCATTACTTGGCAAACTCGTTGCGTCCTTGTATCAGGAAGGATCTTTGGTTTGTCGTTTCTATAATCCTAGGTCTTTCGGTTCAGTCACGAATCGCCTTAGCGCAAATACAGAAATGCTTAGGTTGTGAGCACATGGATTTGCAAAGAGATTTTGGGGCATTATTCAAGTTGCTATTGGCTGAGCATTAGGCACACTAATGAATGCCCTAGAGGGCATAGTTTTTTTCTTTTCACGAGGTATCCCCGCAGGAAATGCATTGTCATCAGCCACCGTAAGCTACAGTCGTCATCACGCGTTGCCGCCGTCAGCATTGAAATTTCCAGTCTAAGAACTGAATCTTTCATCTAGAATTCCAGGTATCGAAGCGAGAAAAGACGCCGGCCGAGTGGTGTTTCTTTACTAACCGTAACGAAAAGAATTTATTTCTTTGGTGTCCCAAGAAGGCGCATCTAGAGAGTTTTAAAGCATATACGACCAGCCCTAAACAGATTTCCGCATTGTGTGCAGTTGTAGACTTGATAGCAAAAACTGCAGTGCGGACGCAATTGTACAAAAAGAAGGCGGTGCATATCCAAGTTGCCGACGCAAGGGAATTCCTGAAGCTCTCACCGGTTTCTCCTAATAATTTTGACGAATAAACGTATTCAATTGCAGGTAGCTTTCTAGGTCATAAAATCTTCCAGCAGTACATGCGCAGAATCAAAACCCGTGAAAAACATGTGTATAATATTTCCAAGCATCGACGCCAAAAGTGTACGCGATTTTAAAGTATACTTCTGAAAATCATTTCACTGTTTGTTAGAGTCAGTGTAATTTGTAGGTGGTAATTACCAAATTGAATTGGAGATGATGTAACGTAATGAATGACTACTGCTATAGCGTCATTAACTTCAAGTGATTTCAGAGTCACGTCAAAACGTCCGCCCAAAGAAACGGACGGTGGCGGAGCATGAGGAGTATTTGCGTGCGCTCCAGCCTACGCCTAAACGTTTAGAGCCCGCTTTTTAACACAAAAATTTCGGTGGCGGTGGAGGCCGCGGTGGTTTATAAGGAAAAGTCACTATGATCCGTTCGCGCAAGTGCAAGATAGGCGCAATGAAATAAATCATAACAATGTTTGATCATAACAATGTTTGATCAGTTTGATCAGTAAGTGTTATGCCACGAGGAGGCACTTCGTAATAAAAACAACACTATAAGAACTGTGTTTTATAGAAGTCACATAAACACATGTAATATTGTGTGGACGAACCTTACTCACACCACGCGTCAAAACTCGCGATGCAACTACTGGGTGATTTGAAGATGCCAACTCATTAAGAAAGTGTTCCATGTAGTGCGTACATCGCCAATTTGCGAAATCGAAAATTATGACATAGTGAACACTTGCCAACTGCGCTTCACTTATCCAGTAGACATGACGTGCATATATATATATATATATATATATATATATATATATATATATATTGTAACAGACTAGAAAAGGGTAGAGAAGAGAAGCAGAGGAAGACGAAGAGTCTTGGCACGATCGCAGTGTGCTGCCGCAAACGACCATCGTTCACCTCCTGTAAATAAAACCATCTTATCACAGCTCGCTGTTACAGTTGTGGTGGACGTGCTGGGTAATCGACACCCGAAGACGGAAGGTGAACCGCAAGTTCTTCGACGGAGCCGTCGCATTGCTGGACTTCCACCGAATCCATCTGGGCTGGGCATGTCCCACAACGCAATGAACACCGACCCCTCTCGACTTCTGCGCCGACCAGTTCGGCTCCACAACTGAGAGATGCTCGTCCCTTTGCTGGCAGACCAGATGAAGACGTCGAGGCTTGGCTCATCCATTACAAACGGGTGAGCGCCGCTAACAAATGGGATGCCGCTTCTCAGCTTTTGTACGTCGTGTTCTTTCTGACCGATACTGCATTAATGTGGTACGAGAATCGGGAGGAAACGCTAACGACGTGGGACAGATTTGTTTCTGAAATCAAAGAGCGTTTCGGCGACCCAACAACGATAAAGAAAAGAGCAGAACAGACGCTAATGCAACGCGCTCAAGTGCCAGGTGAAACGTGCACGACCTACATTGAGGAAGTCATAAAGCTATGGATCCGCTAGGTGGCGTAGGGCGGTGAGGACGTGCTCACATCGCTCTCCGCTTTATGAAACGCTTTCAGGCGGAAATTTCATTCAAGTCTACTCGAAGAGTGCGTCATCTTTTCCGTGAAGTTGCGAGGACTTGAAGGACACCAAAATCTGGGACCTGGACCAGCTTCACGAGAAATTATCAACGTTTGAAGATACGACGTGCACGAACGCAGCTTACCGTATCACCGGCTTCGGTCGGCGGCGCCGGGACGCTAAACCGGGCGCGGTGCGGCGACGGGTGCGTCGACTGGCTCACCACTATTCGACCGACTTTCTCCGACATTTTCTGACCGAGTTGGAAGTCAATGGTGAGTGCCATTTAACCTCCTTTTCGGACTATGCGTCTTGCGCAGAGGAAAACGGAGGTCGGCCCATTCCCCTGTTTCTACTGAGCATGCATGCATAAGGACGCCTAGAAATTCTTCGTCTACATGGACGTTGACGAAAACCCTCCCGGCGCATCTCTGGTGTCGGAGAATCAACCGAGCGACGCGAACAGCGTCTCGCCAAATGAGGAACCAAGTAACGACGCGTGAGCGCCCAGCGCCGCGTCTCTCGATAACAAGAACGATGACGACGCGGGTCTGGCTCTTACTTGGACGGAGGACGGCTGGCACACCGTCCTTTCACGCAGAAGAAAAAAGAACCTTAAAAAAAGCCAGAAAGAACCCGAGAAGGGACTAGAGAAGAAAAACGAAAAGTCAGCAGGCCATCCGCTTGCCGACGCAGCACGGGACAGCCAAGTCAAGCGGGATTTCCAGCGCAGAAAACGCCGAGGACCGACGCCCCTTCCAAAGGAAGACATAAAGGTTATCCTGAGACCGCACAAGGGCCTCACAGTGAAAAATCTATTTGGATCCGAGCTCTCTATAGCAGTGATAGAGGCCTGCCG